CTAGAGTATGTCAAAGTCATCTTTGCCTCTTTAGCTTATATATGATTTACCATAATTTTTGGGAAATGGAAAAATCAAGATTATGACTGTTCTTTCATTGTGGATATAGATTATTAATTATATTTGTTTGGAAATATAGAGGAAAAAATTGCTAAACACTACATTTGTAATGGGAGGCTAAGCTTTTAGAGTATGGATAGCAGAAGAATTGGTTTCAAAGGTAAGGTTTCCTTCAGAATGTTTAAGTTATTTCGCAGTTCAAATAGGCTTTCCATGCTGCTGATCCTCTGCTTCTAAAATTCATCTGATGAAGAAAACAGTTCATCTCTTTAATTGGAATTGCATGATGATCTGGTAGTGTAATATAATCACTCTGGTAAAGAAAGCATGAGGTCATAATGGAAACATTTTGTCCCATCAAAAAGCAGCAGGTTTCATTCTTCTTTTCGTTTGTAAGAAAATAGTCATATGCAATATTCATTACAAGAATGGCTGTTTAGTAACTATTGGTGGTCTTAAGAGAGAAGAAAAGCAAGAGGAAGAAAATTGCATCACATCTGAAGTATGTGTTACCTGATGTCTTTTAGCTGAAATCCCTTGCTGAGTTTAACCTATTATTTATTTTGAAATTCTAGATCCTTTCTCCTGTATATTCAAGAGTCTACTCATTATCTTTCCTTGATTAGTAGTACAGCTATGATAGATTTCTGTGAACTGCCCAGCTTCTGTGAACTAATAGGGCCTGGGTTCTGTGTATCCAAAATGTAAAGGAAGTTTCCGCAAGGTTTGTTGAGGTCAAACTGAGTGGATCTGATAAAGGTGATCTGATAAAGGTGACCTTTCAGTTGTGTAGCTCCTGGAAAAGAAGGGGTATGTGCCACATATCCTGTCTTAATTGGAAAATGTTAATGGCAGGGTAAGTTTGAGTTGCCAGCTTCACAGCAGGTGACTAAAGCCATTAAATCTGTCACATGTCTGTATGTTTAGTCTTCCTTTATCTGACTAGTCCTTCACTAGTCCTGTTGTGTTCTATTAAAAACAGGGAACAGCCTTCATCAGGTCGAACTGGTAAAATCATTCTGTGAGTAAATCATATCTCTAAAGTGCATCTTTACATCAGCTAGGGGAGTAGAGATGCATTCTTCCATCTGGACAGATTGTGCCTCAGGAGATACACCTGGAAGATTTTGCATCTCTATTTAACCCTTTGCAGCAGGACCCCTGGAGTTCAATACAAAACATATTCTCTGTTTATCAGCTGGTGTGAAATATGAGGGTTGCTGATTTTTCAGAAGAAAGTATTGGTAAAGGATGGGTTGCTAAGAATAAAGATTATCTTGTAGAACATTTAGGCTACTACATATTTTCGCTTGTGCTCCTTGTATCGGTGGGACTACAAAGTACTAAGATTTCAAAACTACTTGAATATGGTTTTGGGATAGCAGCCACATGTCCTGGCTTGTAAGTTCGAGAATTTTTGTAATACCCCTCTGATACTGTGCTCTTAAAGTGGAAGGTCTTCACCTGCTTGGCATTAATCTGACTCCAGCATGGAAACTGTCATTCCCCACTTCTCATCCATCCCTATTATTTCTTTCTGTGTGCCTGCATATCAGTGCAATCAAAATATGCTCTTGTATTTTTGATCACATTTTGCATATAAGGAAAATTTCACTTTCTTTAATAGAAATGAGTGAAGCACAATACCCTAAAGTATTTTATGTGTGATTATGCATGATGCAATAGATCTGTCCACGTACTTGTGCTTTTTTGTATTTTTTTTCTAGTTCTCATTCATAAATTTCTGATTTTTTGAACTAGGTCTCTTAGCATAAATATCAGCTTATTCACTACTTCTTTTTTAATACTAATATACTTGGCACAGATAATTTTCCTTCCTATTTCTTCCCCCAATCTACATTTTTGTTTAGTTCATGGCCTCTGTAAAACTATTTGTAACCCACAGTTGCAATTTTGTTAGTAATGTGCTTGGCACCATTTAGCACAGCCGTTCAGCTTACCTTGAGAAAAGCCATACTACTGAGATTTGCAAAACAGTTATAATACTGAGAAAGAGTTATATTTTAATTGTCAGTTGGTCAAAGTGACTGCTGTAATGAATGCTTCCAGTTTCAGAAGAGGTTTGCAATGCTTACAGAGGAATCTGTGTGTCTATAAATTACTGATACAAACTTCTAACAGCATATTAAACTTAAATCTGGCTAACAACATGGTAGTTCTCTCAAAAATGTTGCTCCACTTACCTCTTAAGATACTGGATATTATTTAACATAGGTAGTGTCTTTTGCTTGGGTTCCAATAAAAATTGCATATCAGAAGGTTTGATTCATGTTGTTTGGCTTAGGAAGCATTTAAAAGTGGAATTGGTTACCACTGTTAGGGTGGAATGACTGAATTTAGAGAGGTATATTCCATTGAATACTTTTTTTTTTCCCCCGTAGATAAACCTAGTTAGTGTGGACTTCTTCAGAGAAGATAAGCAAATCCCTTGCAGACATTTTTATAATTTCCAAATATATACTGCAATTTCAATGCTATTCTATAACTATTTCAAAAAGTATTGTTTTATCCATGTGGTCCTTCCTTTATTTCCTTTTTGGTGGCTGCTTATGGTCTCCCAGAAACTTGTAATTGCATTTCTTCTTTGGGTGCCAGTGGCACACTTCTTAGAGACACGCCAGAAAATGTGCTTTTATACCTTGGCAGACCTGTAAATGTATCACTGCTGCACATGAGGCCCTTCAACTCTACCAGTTATAGGTCAGATATGTTTCACTGATTTCACTGGGTTAGGACTGAATCTTAATTTGCTGAAGAAGGAAAGAAGAATCCCATATTCCTTACCATGGTTAAGACTAAATGCTGCTGGTTTTGAAAAGTATAGATAGTGTTAACTTTTTTTGGTTACGTAGAAGATACCACTGATGAAATCAAACCATTGCTTACATTATATGAGGCAGGTATAAAGTGCCCATATACTTCCCAAAGAGGATATTTTCCACCTAAAATGACATGTTTTTATTTAAATGTAGTTTGAAGTGTTCTTATTAATGTCCAATATAGTTTTAAATGAGTATGTATGTTACATCCTTTTTTAATGTTTATCAAATCTCATGACTGATCAGTTTATATGTACAAGGGTAGAAATACTCAAAGGATAATTGAGCAAAAAGCATCTGCCTTCTGAAAAAAAAAATCTGTCTTCTTTTTAAGCAAAGCTGTTGATCATAATAAGACTCTGAGGAGTCACAGGAGTGGAGTAATAGAAACTCATGTAAAAGCCTTTTTAAGTGATTAAGGGCCTTTCAGCTTTAGCCTTATACTTGCTGAGGAAATCATCTTCTGTAATAAGTAAAAAATTTTATCAAAAAACATTGCCAGAGGCAACAGTTAAACAAGTGTTTTGGTCACATGGTAGAATATAGTTTGGAATATGGAGATCTATTTTAATTTGTAATTTCTTCTAACATGTCCATTTCTTTTTGATAATGATGACTTCTATGAATCTTCAGACTGATTTGGAAGTGTAATGTACTAATTCTCTTTCTCATCAACATAATGAAACAAGCAGACAATGATGCTGACTTGTAACAGGAGAGAGGGATTTCAGAAGGGACAAGTTCACATGAGGCACATTTGAATATTTCTTCTTAAAGGGAAAGCAAACACTTGTCACTCTGGTCACAGTTCTGCCTTCTTTTGGCTCCCTGGGCACATAAAGAGTAACCAGGAGTCTGCTTTAATTTGTCAGACCAACCAGTTCTTGTAGCTTCAAGCATGGTAGGAGTGGGAAGATAGTTTAAAGCTGCCCTTCTTCTCAGTTCTGATGAGTTGTACTTGGTGCAGATAATATGTGAACCAGGATCTTCTTGGCACAGCCGAGAGTACAGCTCAGGAGTTCCTGGCTCCCTAGATCGTGTTCACAACACTGCACAAGGCAATTCTACAGCTACTTGCTCCTGTAAAAAGTTTGTGTGCCAAATCTTCATTTGATAAAAATTTTAGAAACAGAGCTATGGAGCAATTTACAGAAGCTGAGTCTGAAATTAAATTACAGTGGTGAGATTTTACTCAGGAAATCTGTACCATGGAGCTGTCCTGGTTTTCAAACTCGACATCAAACAAGAGGAAGATAACCATGTTTTCTTGTGAGCTGGGGCCTCGCCTCTATCTGAAATTATTTATTCATGTCAGATATTGGCATCTCTGCTCTTCTGATCATCTGAAAAAAATGCAAGTAAAAGAGGTATTATTTGAAATTTAAAGATTAAATAAATATGTGGTTTCACAAAGATCTGTTGGGGCTCCCAGGAGTCAAAATTATACTTGATTCTTCTTTGCAGTCCAATTAATGAGAGGTTTTTTTCCTGGCATTACTATTTACTTTTTTATTACTTCTGTAATGTGCTTTCAAAGAAATGAGAAGTTGTGAGGTTTTTTCCCCAAATGAATAATTATATTGAATTGTTAATACTGCCTTAATTTTGTTAAACTTTATTCCTAAGTAAAGGTGAAGTTACTTTCCAGTATTGCTAATCTAGTTTGCTACCTCTAACATGGGAATGCCTGATATTTTTCCATTTACAATGTAGTACACACCAGAAGATTTTATCGAATATGACTATGAGTATGGGGATGCAGATTATAAAGAAACTGATTCTGTAACAGAGGGACTCCCACTGTTCGAAGAGACAGTAGCACAAACAGAGGTAACAGAATGTGATCTGTTTGTTGTGTGGTGTCCAGCTGTCCCCTACCACATGGTTTGTCAATTTGTGTCTTTGTATATGAGCTTAATACTTTCCTCTCACTCATTTCTTTACTTCCTAGCTGTTACCTTTGCTTTCAGTTAGAGATGGAAGGTCTCACGGCTGACAGCATTCATCTCGCATTTGGTTACCCTTCTTTCATTCACCCTTTCTCAATTTCCTTTTCATTTTATTTATGTTTTCCCATTCCATCTTTCATAACGTTTGCAGAAAAAGAAAGCCATGGTCAAAAAGAAGAAGAGGACAGTGGCCGCTAGCTCAAAGGACAAACTTCAAAAGGCCACAACAAAAAAATCTGAAAAATATGCATCCAAGAAGAAGAAAAGTTATCAAGCACCAACAAAAGACAAACTAGGGGTAAAGGTAGCCAAGAAATAATCAAGATCTTTCCCAGACCAAGACTGGAAGATCTTTGATAATAAGAAAAAAATTCACCTAACCCCACTAGATGAATACATCTAATACCATAACCTGAATAACAGCAATGCCTTTTGAATTTTTCGTACAAGATTTTTTTTAATAATGTGCTTGTTTTTTCATACTAGGCCAACGTTATTGATGGATTTCAAGATTATAGCATAGCTGAAAATGACTATGGGCCCCAGACAGAAGCTCCCTCCAGAGCTACTGAAGCAAATGAGGTAATAAGGACTCTCAAGAAAATACACGTCCCACCAGGTGTCATTCATTAAAAAAGTAAAAATGCATTTTAAAAGGATGGATTTCTGTGTAAATGATATAAACTTTACCAGAACTTTATGTGATTTCATACTTTCTCAGCCAACATCAGAAACTACTATTTTCTTGAGGAAAACTCCCATTAATTCTGTAGAGATCTGCCAAATCTTCAGCCTGCAGAGTTCATGATTCTGGAAATAATTCAGTGATATATGGTGTGGGAATGTACAAAGAATGACTGCCACCATAGTAGCATATGAAAGTTGAGTCGGAAGCCATCATTTACTTTTCATAGTTTTTCAGCTAACAAAACCAAATTATTTGATTTTCATTTGCTCTATTCAAAAGAAACATAATTTGAACTGTCAAAAAAAGACAAAATTATTTTGACTTATGTTAGAAAGCACATTGCTAGAAAGCCACAATAACAGGTCTAAACATTATTTTGTTAAAATTACTGCACCTAAGCCAGTGTTGATTAATATGTTTGCATATTAATTAACACTAGTGTTAGAAAAATGATGGCAGATTTTAAGAAACATTTTTCTCATTTTTCTTTTCCTTTTCCTTTCAAAATTAAGATTGTTGCTTAAAAGATGTACAAAACTCCCCCTCCCCTCTTTCCCCTAAATATTCGAAAAAAGAGTCCCCATTTGTCCTATGCTTTTCCTCTTATGTATCTTGGAAGGTGAAGGTGAATTAAGGTATGTTTTACTCATTTTGCTGCCAAGAATTCTTGTGTTCAGTCTCATGTTTGCTTCTCACAAATTGATCAACAAATGTATCTAAATCATTCCGTTGCCTGGGCAATTCTAAGCCAATTGTACAATTGTAGAGCTGTAGTGAAGTACATTCAAAGTGCTGAATGCTCTCCTTGGTGAGAGCACTTCTTCACAAAGGTAAAATTTGGCTTAGAATTGGTTCTGATTTCTGTTTATTCCAGCTATAAGGTAGAAGTCATATTCCATAACTAATGGAATTAGGCAAGTGTTAAATCAGAATCTGGCCTTCTATTTTAATTGCAATATATTTCAATGTTATTATTAGATCAGGATTTTTTAATTACAGTGGATGTTGATTAGCTTCTGAATATTTTCAAGATCACACTACTTCATATTGTCTGATCATTTTATATTATGATATCAGATGATATCTGAACTTCAATTTCTTTCAAAATTGTTGAAAGACCTCTGTAACAGAATAAAGCAATCCTCCTTTACTTCACAAGTGGTTTTGTACATCTCAAATATAGCATTATTTTAAACTGCTTTAGTGCTTTTAAGTTGTTTGCTTGGTTTGACAGCTTACACACTTTAAGGTGAAAGCTTAGATTTCAGAAATCTTAAAATTAATCTGAATTGTACAGGTAGAACTTAGACAAAAATTATGTAAATTACCATGACATGCAAAAAGTCATGTCTTTTACTGATAAATAAACTTCAAAATCATTAACAAGAGAAAAGAACTTTAGCTCAGCATTGGTATTTATAGACAGAAAATAATGTAAAAGGCTGGGCTTGACTAAAGTAATGCTTGCACCTCCTCCACAATTCTATTATAAAAAGATCTGAACTTACTCACTGCTCATTGCATATGTTCATTCATGAATGCTTGTAAGAGTGAAACCAAGCAGCGAAATTCAGCTATATTTGGCACTAAAGTAACATTACGCAAGCAGTACACATAATACTGGATATATTGAATTCAGTGGTTTTGAAAATAAAAAACCAAAGCGTATGAAAACATTACTTCTTTGTACTACTTATACAAAGATCTTTTAATTACTCTGAAAGGCTGAGCTTCCATTCCTTCAGACTCTAATTAAAAGACAATGTGCTGTAGTTCTACTGTTCTTTCTTCTTTTGACAAGTCATCATGGTGGATCAGCATATGCTTACATTGCTTTACTAACAATAACCCACATATTCCTCCTATTCCCAAATCTTTGCTACTGATACAAATAGCAAAATCCTGTTGAAGAAGTATTTGCTGAAGAATACGTAACTGGAGAGGATTATGATAAAAAAACTGAGGCAACTGAATATGGAAGCAGAGGAGTAGACCTCAGTGAATCTGATCTGCTGGTAGATGGAGATTTAGGAGAATATGATTTTTATGAATATAAAGAATATGAAGAGAAACCAACTGATTCCACTAATGAGGAGTTTGGTCCAGGTGTTCCTGCAGAGACCGATATCACAGAAACAAGCGTAAGTTGACTGGAGGCGTAATGCAGATTAATCTAATTTAGCAATTCTTTTATAATTACACAGTCTCAGAACTGCACAGACCCTGATCCAGAGCTCCTTGTACATATCAGATATATTCTCATTTCCAATATCCTTTGGATCAAGATCCTCTTAGTAATCTTGAACTTTGTATTTTTATCATGTAAGATTTGTGTTTTATTTGCTGAAGGGAGTAAGGGAGGGTGGAAGATGGGAGGAAAAGGAAAGAGGAGATGGAATTAAAGAAATAAATTATTATATAAACAGGTTTAAAAAACTTTCTAAACTAGAGCTAAAGCTGGAAAGAACATAAGTTCTAATGCAGGTACAAATGCTCTAATTAATATTTTTATATGATTACCTTTAGAAATTGAAATGCATATAAGTGTCTAGAATCCTATGGCTTTTGCATCTTTCCAAAAAGAAAGTTCATGAGTGGGAAGGTTAAGGCCTGAACCCTTTCATGAAAATAAGCTTAGTCAATGGTGACAGGTTTATGGTCTTGCAGAAGTGATTTAACAGCTCAGTATATATAAAGATAGATAGGATGACATGGTGGATCCTGTGAATCATGCTTCTCATTCTGAGTTTTATAGCTCTCTTTCCCTCTGACTTAATCATAGGCTAAACAGCAAGGCTTTAACTTTCCTTTAGTTGTGCCAAGATCCTTGTTTATCAGTTTACCAGCTGTGGATGCTGCAAAGAAAACTAATATGGCTAAGATTGGAAGGAAGAAAAATCCCATTTGGATTTTTTAATTAGGAAGACCCTGAATATAGTAGAACAAGAGAATTTTGTTTTCACTATTTGCTCAGTCTTATCTGTATTTTCTTCTCACAAAGTCAAAACTTCAGTTTACAAAGGATCCAAGAAATAACAGCAAATGCTGTGAGGTTGCTTTTCTCTGCCAACCTTGAAACCCATCCTTCTGTTTTTCATTTACTGATCCTTTCTATACCCTGTTGGGGTCATTGTATTTTTTAATGATCCTTATCTGTGCAATGTGATACAAGTGCACTCTTTTCCTTCTAGCCCAGATGGGGACACTGTGGCAGAATGACACAGAAAAGGTCAGATTATCTGTGAAGCAAAGCTCCCATAAGGCACCATTTGTGCCTGCATTAAGCAAATGACTGTGTAGACTCTATCCCTGGTGTAAATTTCAACTTAAAATGCCTTGATACAAAGGTGAAGGAGTCACAAATCTTGAATTAGAACACAGGCTCTGGTCTGTGCAAGCTTTATTGCAGTTGTCATCTGCTGAACTAGAGATATGTCATTTTCCTTTGGCCTATGAAAATATTTTGAATACCTGAAGTTCTATCTATGATAAAAAAAAAGGCAAGATGGAAAGTACTCAGAATATGGGAAATTTCAAAAAGGGGAAATATTTCCAAGAGACCCTGATATCATTTTTTTACAAGTAATTTATATTAATCCAATAAAATGTGATTGCCTGTACCTCTTGCTACTTCATTTTGATGAACTACCAATGGGTTTATGAACATCATTACTAGTGAGATCTGTGCCTTTATAAATCAGTGCAAAATGGACAGTCTGTGAATCCCTGTTTTGCAATTCCAAAATATTTCATATTGAAATACTGTAACATTATCCTTACCATTCTTACTAATCCCCAGATATTTTAGAGTAAATGTTGAATCACTCTACTGAAATTAAAAAAAAAAAAAAATTTAAGCTGGTCAGAGCTTAATTTCTAGTGAACATGTTAGCGATCAAGAGAGATACTTCTGAAGAAAAATGCATTATCTCATGGTTTAAAAAAAATCAGTTCCTTTTTCTTTGTTTGAAACTTGAATCTGTTTCTCCCATTCTTCCATTAGTGTTATTGGCATATTGTTTTAGGTACTTCTCTTACCCTAATCCTGAACCCAAAACTTCCCACAGAGCTGGTCCTCAAAGAATTTGGCAGTTGATGCTAATTCAGGTATTGCCGAAGCATCATCGGTTATCAGTGACATAGTCTTTAGACTCCACAGTGCCACTTACCTCCTTTCTCATGTACGCCATGAAATCACAGACCCTTCTCAGGTTGCTTCTCATGTTGTGGATGTCTCATGAATGAAATTAGGAGCTTGAAAGGCACAGTCCATATTGGACCAAGGGATCTTTCTTTCTATCTTACTTTAGGCTGCTTAACTCATAAAGCCATGAAGAGTCATTGTCAATTACCAAGAATATTTCCAATCAAATAAGAAAAGAATCTATGTTGTGACTTGAACACAGAAGTTTTAGATTCTATTTTCAAAGTTCTTATGTAAAGCATGGGATAAACACTCATGGGATGCACATCTCATTCAAAAAGTACAAATTGACAATATCCAATAATGGAGAAAGCATACACATGGCTTTTGCATTTTCAATTTCTCATGCATTAAATATTTTTTATTTATGTGGTTTGTACCTGTGATGTATTTTTATAGTATAATTTTTTATAGAGCAATTCCAGCTTTAGCTTTCAGTTACAGGTTGCTGCATTCTTTATTGTACTGGGTCCTTAGACCTTCTACTTATTTTTGTTTTTGGGGTTGTTTTTACTGGCCAGGTGACAGGACACGGGGCTTATGGAGAAAAAGGCCAAAAGGGAGAACCAGCTGTGATTGAACCTGTAAGTACAGATGTCAGGGAGTTTTTCAATAGCACTGTATAACAAATATTCACTGTTAATGCATCATTATGAAATGTTGTTATTCATGATAGGATGACAGCATCCACATTGTCTGTGATCTCTGAAACAGTCCCTGTAATGTGGATGATATAAAGTGATTACTGACAGTGGCCTGTTCCTGCTACTCCTTTGGTTACATGAAGGACTAACCACATATTCCTTAATAAAAAGAGAATCTTGTACAGAGGGAAACAGATCATTGATCTGATCTTCAGGCCATCTAGTAAATACATCTTGGACAGATCTACCCAGAAAACTTTCAGCTTAGGCACAGGTAACACCGTCATTACAGGTTTCAGCAAAGGCTAGGAAGTCTTCCTCACTTTTAATGCCATGCAATGGTTCAGATTCTCATGCTAAGAACTGTAGAGAGATTAGTCCTGGAAAAGTTTATCAAAACACTAAGAAATGTTAGCTTTAGTAGGTCAGCTAAAAAAATTTTTTATATTTTTCTACAAAATGATGAATGTAATATTGTGCTCCATCCACTCCTAGGGTATGCTCATTGAAGGACCACCGGGACCAAGAGGACCTGCTGTAAGTAGATTAATCACAATTTTCTTTATTGCACTTGATTTATCCACTGTGCTTTTCTATTCACAAGTTAGCACAATATTGGTCTTATTATAGTTCCTAAATGTGTATTAGATTTAGGACTTATAGAAGGGAATAGAAAAGGGTCATCTCTAGCATTTTCAGTGGCAGCAAGCTACAAAATGATGGCACGTGAAAAATCTAAGTTTTGAATGTTGACTCTAAATCTTTGTAAGAAAAAAACAATATGCTGCCTTATAAATTATTTTATCCAAATATGTGTTCATCACAACTTTTGAGAGAAAAAATAGTTCAAAAATCTTCAAGTATTCAGCATAATTATGTTATTCATTTTCTATAGGGTCTTACAGGTCCCCCGGGTTTACAAGGTCCTGTTGGTCCTCCAGGTGACCCTGGTGAAAGGGTAAGTCAACAAACAGATTATCTCATGCATTCATAGGATATCTTGCACTAATTGCTGCACAAGGGTGAGTTAGATCCTGATCTGAAATAGATCCACATAGGTTAGAAATTTCAGTGGAACTGAGGCTATTCATTCAGCTAAGCAAATCAAGTGAGAATCTGGACAACGTTTTTCTTAGCGGTTGAGATAAGTGCTGTAAATACAAGAAGATGTTTAAGTTCTGGTTTATTAGGATTTTTCTGGTTTGATGTGTTTAGAAATATGCTAAAGTTATAGATATAAACGTTTCATATGAATTTGAATTACTTTAAAAAAATCAGTATGGCTTCAGCTATAATATGTACAAATATAGAGAAAAACAAGCTTTCAGAATCAAAGCACATGGGATATTGAAAGTGATGGATAATATTTCGATGATCTTGGAAGAATTTATTTGCCTTATTAAACAATATGTGGCTTGAGAAACATATCCAGTCATGAAATTAGTTAAAATTTAAGCTATAATTTTAATCTTCATGTTCTTCTAAGCCTTTTCTTGCTGCCACCACCAACATGGTTTTAAAACAGCCTAAATGTATTTATTTGAGGAAAATATGGTACTAAAAGGCTTTCCTGTGTTTTATGAGAGATATTTTATTGGTGAATCCAGCATGTTCATGCTGTATTTATATATGAAAGATGCTAAGAAGATGCTATCACTTCACTGTATAATGAGGTAATATTAAAATCCCAACAACACTTTACCATGCTAGTAAGTAAGCATCCACACTTCTTTCATATTTCTGTGCTGTAGATTAATTAAATATTCCAGAATTTGAACTTATAAAATAGGAATTTTAAGACCTAGTAAAGGAATAGCTACCGACAGTACTTAGTTTTTAACTGGATGCTCACTGAATTCATCATGAGGAAATTCTTGACTAAGCACGTCATGTGCCTGTCACGGACCAGACACGACACAAATATATAATTGCAGCAATTAGGCTGGGAGGAGAATGGATTGAGAGCAGCCCTGCAGAGAAGGACTTGGGGGTGTTGGTGGACAAGAAGCTTGACATGACCCAGTAACACAAACTTGCAGCCAACCGTATCCTGGCTGCATGAAAAAAGCGTGAGCAGCAAGTCAAGTGAGGTGGTTCTGCCCCTCTGCCACCCTTGTGTGCCTCTTCTGTGAAGACAGGCTGAGCTGTGGGGGAAGGCTGCAAGAGAGGTGCAGAGAGGCTTTTACAAGGGCCCATAGTGATAGGACAGAGGGGCAGGTTTTTAAATGGAAAGAGCAGGTTTTGATTAGAAGAAATTTTGGGAAGAAATTTCTTATGCTGACAGTGGTGAGGCCCTGTAACAGCTTGCTCAGATGGCTGCACCATCCCTGGAAGTGTTCAAGGCAGGGTTGGATGGGGCTTTGAGCTACTCAGCCTAGTGAAAGGTCCCTGCCCATGGCAGGGAGGTTAAAACTAGATCTTTAAGGTATTTTCCAGGCCATTCTGTAAATATAAATTTATGTAAGTGACTCAAAAGGTTTATCTTACATTACTATATTTTTTTCCTCACCTTTTTTCTCTCATGTCTTTTTTATTTTAGGGTCCACCTGGTCGCCCTGGTCTTCCTGGTGCTGATGGTTTAGCAGGTCCCCCAGGTACCATGTTAATGCTACCGGTAAGTTGTAAGCAGCCTACAAAAAACTGGAAGTGTCTTTCAAGAAATGTATAGGTATTTTATTTTTTAATCAAATTTTGTCAGTGGAATAAGAGAATGATAGGATGGCATAAGCATTTGAAATTCATATATATGGTGCCTTTTTTTTCCTCAAAAAACATATGCTTTAGCTCCTGCATGGCTGACAAATTGGAACCTACACAAGTGAATTACAGACACTGAAAACCACCTTATATTTTTAGCAGTAACTATATTTTGCTACTATAGGTCTGAAACAACGAGTCTGCTGTTGTACAGAGGGCCTGTACTCCCAACAGGCGTGTGTGCTTTCAAGTCTCATTGACATGTAGATTTTTAAGTATTCCATGCTTCAAATCAGACTTCAGTGTCCTCTTTGAAGAGTCAGTGCATCCTTTGAATAGAAATATATGCACATAGCCAACTCTAGTCCCACTGGAGTCAAAGCAAAACACCATCTGTTTTAGCAGGTGGAGGAACAAGCCCAAAGCTGTTAAAGTATCTTGCAGCACTGGGGTACGAAAATCACTGTGTGCTTGGAATGCGTTATTCCTAAACGTGTCTATGGGTGAAAAAGATCTGTCAATTCTGGGTGTAGGCGAACTGGACAAACTATTGTGGGCAGTGCAAGATTCATGGCCCTGATACCCAGTGTATGCCTTACCTTTGGAAAGCTGTGCTTTATGCTGCAGCCTAGCATTTCTACAACATTGCAAAGCTTCTGCCAGCAGTTTCATTAGGAATAACAGTGCAGGAGCAAAGGAATGAGCACTTAAATTTTTATTCTGTAATTTATTTTGAAATTGTCAGAAATTACAGAAAACTTTTGGTATCTAAACTTGGTTTTAGATACCAAACATTTTTCACATTTGCATATGCCTTAAATTAAATTACATTTTTAAATGTGAGTAGCTACCAATGTACAGAGAATTAATTAATTTTGGTACATATTTGTATTGATATTTTGCAGGAAAGTAAAAGTCTATTTTGGCCTCTTTTTTAAATAAACAAGCAAACAAATGGAAACCAAAATCCTATGAAATCAGGAAAATATTTGCTCATAAGGGAATAAATTTAGACCTCAGTTACTATCACCGATGACTTCATGCTCATGTTGGATGCAGTGACCTCCATGCAGCCATCTTCTGGAGTTAATAGAATTAACTAAATACTGTGACTTTGTGACTTTGAAGCGGTTTGCACCATCAGCAAGTAACAAGTATAATTTAGATTTTATAAATTCTAAATCCTTTTTGTGTTTTGGTACTTGCAGTTCCGCTTTGGTGGAGATGGTGAGAAGGGCCCAACAATCTCAGCTCAGGAAGCTCAAGCACAAGCTATTCTTCAGCAAGCTAGGGTAAGCACAAGGAGCCAGAACCTAATTTGTTTTATGTCCTGCAGGATGTGAAGTCAAAGATGGGGGGTATTTCCTAACACATTCTAAAACTCTGTTAGTATAGAATATGTATGCTGGCTGGCAGGTTTTTCTTGACACCTGGTGTTCTGTTTGTTTGTCTTCTCAGATTGCTATGAGAGGTCCACCTGGTCCTATGGGACTCACTGGAAGACCAGGTCCTGTGGTAAGTAGACAAAACAGGGGCACAGGTTTAAGAACATGGTGATGTAGCCCACAGATTTCATTCTGGCCCTGACTACACCTCTATATTTGTACTTGTTTTGTATTTATTTGAAATTAATATTACATAATTAAAGCTGTAGTTTGTATTCTTATTCAAGGTCTGCAATGCAACCTAAATACTAAATGAGGGTTTTTTTGTAGGTTTTGTGGTATTCGGACAGAGCACACTGTTGGACTTCCAAAACTAGTGAATAGTTTTACATAAATATGCCTCTACATTCAATCATCTCTGTAATGCAATCAGTACAATTTGTTGCAGTAAATATGAAACTCTACAGAAAGAGATACTAAAGCAAGAGTTTGCAGAATCACCTTTACTCAATATTTAAGCAAAATCTGAAAAGTTCTCAAAAAGCATTCCTATAAACAATTAAGAGCCACAGATTTTTAAAATAATGCCACTTTTTTATTTCAGTCCTGAGTTTGACTCAACTGCTAACACCAAGTGATCTGGAAATGGCCTTGTGGATTTTAAAATATCTTAGTATTTGTATGGAGAGTGTACACTTGTATTTTTAAGCAGATCTGTACAAGAGTAATTATTTTCTACAGTAATTCTTCCAAAGTAAATAGTAGCTACTAAGCAGAGAATCTGGCTCACAGACTCCTGATTAATCACAATTAGGTATGCAATACTTAAAGAGTCAAATATGTTTGGTCTATATAACAAACTCGTACACTATTTCCAGCAATGTATTTAGTTCAAGAGACTAGCAGGATAATATTCAGTCTGTACAGACAAAACTCTGGAGCTGCTGTAAGCAAGGAGGACTTTGCAAAGGCTGTTATGATACTGACAGTGGGTTGGATACCTTTAACAGAGGTATAACCTGCCTTCATATTCATGCTTTTGTGTTTTAAAAGCCTTCATGAGTTCCTGTATGCAAAGTTCAACAATTAATAATATTAATAGTTGTTTTGCTTCTAAACCACCAGGAGGCTCTAGAAATCCAACTCTTTGATCTAGAAACATTTTTTGCCTACAGCTCCAAAAGCAAGTTTCTTGGTCTGTAAATTGTTTTTCTACCCAGTTTCTGTTAAGAATTAAAAAGCTGGAGCTTCTAGTCTTTATATGCATTTTATTTTGTTAAATTAATCAGTAGCCAATAAGATACATTAGTAACATGTTAGTTACTAAAAATCTTAAACATAGCCATGCCAAATCTCCAGTCTAGCATTAGTTGAGTCTGGTGTTCACATGTTCAGTTAACATAGCATAAAAATGAATGTCTGCCTACAGATAGTAAATGTAATCAATTATATTAAAGCAGAGCTTAAATCAGAGAAACCCCAAGAGAGAATCATCACCTACCAAAACCAATCTTCTCTCCACTGCCAGTACCAGTTTGGGATCTGATTTCCAGTTTGCTTAGGACTTGAATTAATAGCTGCAGGGTCAATGGAGATCTTTCCACTCTAGGATGTGAGACTCAGCACCAAGCCAAGCCATTAGATTACTTCTTTCCAATGTTAATGTAGAAGGATTATCAGTTTTCAAAGGTCTGCAACATTTGTTTCATATTAAATACATACTTTGAGTCACAACCTGTTTCAATGATCGAAAATGCAACTATTCTTTTTGCACATAGTAACAAACTCCCATATCTTCTTTCCCTGAGCCTTTATTCTATGTGTGCATGCCAGGATTTTTTGGTTTATTTTGTCTGTTTTTGTGAGACATCTAACGTCTTTCACTAGTTCTGCCCCTGATTTCATGTACAGTTTAAATTAATATCTGATCTTGGCCTGTTTATGATAAAATTTACTCTTAAAATCTATATCTTCATTTCATAATAAGGAGATGTAGTTATATAGATTCTCCACTTCTTCAGGGCCAGGTGCACAAAGGACTTGATTAAAACATCACTGAAGTTCATTACAAGATTAGACAGGGTATTTTTCTTTGACTACAATGATCTTTGGATTGAACTCTGAGACTGGTTTTTTTTCTGTGCAGCATAGAAATAAAGGTAAAAAGAGGTGGCTTTCAGCTCTGTCTTATTCCCTATGATGGATGCACTGATGATTGCCCTACTTATGTTCTTACTATGCTCATACTTAGCTCTCAAATACTGATATAGAACAAAGGGTTACATTTTGCATTCAAATCCATGGGAATTTTCTCTGGTAAGAGAAATATTTCTGCGCAGTGTTTAGACAATGTTAAATCAAAGTAGATAAATCTGTAGATACAAATGGTGAATTCACACCTCCTGATGGTGTGAATTTGTTATTTCTCCCTGGATTATTTGTTATTTCTCCCTGTAATTCATGTATGGAAATAGAAAGTTACTTATTAATTTAAAGAGGCTTTTGTATACTTAAACAATATATGTTGGGGTTTTTTTCATCAAGGGTGGACCTGGAGCAGCAGGTGCTAAAGGTGAAAGTGGTGAACCAGGACCTCAGGTACAATAATATTCCCTGTTATGTTAGAGCATGTTTTATGTTTAAGAAAATGTATTCATATCAATTAGAAGAAATTAATCAATTATATGCTTCCTGCATGCAATTGAAGAAAAATATCCTTAATGATACTATCTTATAATTTCAATAGCTTGATCAATATTAAAATTGTAGTTAAAATCAATAGCTTAATTTTTCATTCTGAAATATGAAAGTAACAATCTTTGTATAACAAAGAGCAATTATCACACATAGAGTGTCATCAGTTGAAAACCTGTTTTAATATTGTCACTTCAGGCTCTTTTCCCTGTTCAATAATGATATGTTAGTGTGCAACTGGATGACCTTGGGCTCTGAACTTATCAGATCTCATAAGGTGAGGGAGGTTGAATTTGGTTGCTAATTAAACAGGATATTTTCACTATAGGTGTGACAGAGCTAGAATGAATCTTTAAGAATCAGTGCATATTTTGCTTCTCAGCCTAATATTATATAAACCTCTCCATAGTGATGTCAAAGAGCACTGAAGCACATGGAATTCTTTCAGTTTAAACCTAAAATCAATAAGGAGATTGTGAAAGAAATCATGAAATAAGTATCCCAAACAATGATTTTTCCAGATCTCGAGTAGTAGCATGGATTTGATGCACTGCTATGTGCCTGTCTTAAAACTGCACTTGGAGTAGACATATAAAATAATTTTTAAAAATTATTTTTAATGTTTTTTTTTTTTTTTAGTTTCCTACACAATATTTGTGAATGGCTTGTCCTTACCATTGCTTTTTTTCACCTGAAAATGCATTTGGATGGGGGGGTGAGAAAATTTCCACAGTTAACACCTATACAGTTGTCAGTGAAAGTTACATATGTTTGGAAAGTGAAATGTTTTTTCAGTCTGGGGTAATTTGGTCCCTCTCTAGTTAAACCCATGCTGTGTAAAGCTAAGACAGCATGTGAGCTCTTTACTATCACTTTACTATCATGTGTAGATATCTAAAATAAACACTCTTTAGTTTTCACTAAATAATTATAAAGTAATTGTTATTATAATAAAATCATTTTGGCATGAGAGGAAGAAGGTTTTTCAAACTACAGGACTGAGATCTTTAAAGCTGAATGAAAAGAATGTAAGAAGCTTACATGATGACTTATAGTATAGTATAGTGCCATCTGATGAAAATTGTTGTTAAAATTCATATAGCTAAGGCCAGTTTGGATGCCTATGTACTTTTAAAACTAATGGGAATCTGTGAACCATAATCCATCTCCTAGGGGAAAAAAATGCAGCTTTTTGTAGAAAAAATCTTACCTTATTCTTGAGGTGAGGTTTTTTCTAGCTTTTTGCTGACATTAATGGAATTCTAAATATTACCCTCTTTAATCCCAGGGTCCTCGTGGTGTCCAAGGTGCCCCCGGTCCAAGTGGAAAAGCTGGCAAAAGGGTAGGTTGCATATAGATCAGTTCTGCTCTGGGTAAATACTTTTTGTTTAAATGTATTTAAATATTAATTTATTCCATTCCATTTTTAAATGTTTGCCCCTTTGGGTTTTTCAGGGACGTCCTGGAGCTGATGGTGCCAGAGGAATGCCAGGAGAACCTGGTGCAAAGGTAAATAATAGTGAGACCTGAGGCTTTAGTTCAGTGTTGGAACAGGCTAGACAGATTTTATGTGGGTACCACAGTTTCATCCAGGCCAACCCAAAGTTCTCCTCTCAAGTGAAAATACTGAGGTTTCAGATAGCTGTGTCAGATGCAAGAGCTGAGAATGAATCATCCATTTAAAATATGGTAATTAATGGGAATTCCTAGTAGTCTGACTTTGAAGAAACTTGATTCTTGAGGCATGATTTCTCTCTCTCTGAGTTAGTCTCTAGTTACAGAGAATCAGTAATAGTAAAGTCAGTTTTGCAGTTGCAAAGTGCAACTAGAATCAAGCGTATCCTTTCAATGTGAAAATTCTTTTTATAAATAGCATAATTACAGCACAGTGAAAAAGCTGTGGCACCTTCTCTTGCTACAATTTGTAGAAGCAAATTTTGTGAGTTTGATCTGTATATTCAGCCCCATGTGTTTCATTCAGTAACAAAAGTGTACATACAACCCAAGGGTAGAAACTAACTTTTAGGGGGAAGGCACTATTTATTCAGACAATTTAACAATCATTTACTAAAGCTGTGATTTCTTTCCAAGGGTGACAGAGGATTTGATGGTCTTCCTGGCCTCCCTGGTGACAAAGGTAACCGGGTAAGAAGAAAAATATGTGCATTTATACAACACCAAACTAATAGAGTCCCAGAAATAATTCATTATTCATTAAGAACAGCACTAAGGACTGAGGGAAAAGTTAAAACAGAATGTCAGCTTTTTACTCTACAAATAATAGCTGTACTATCAGGCAATGAATTTCTCATGAAACTTTTGAGTAATATAAATCAATAGACAAAAAATATGTAAATCTCTAGTTTAAATATATTTGCAGAATTTAGATCACATCTTCAGCTAGGTTTTGCTGTAATTTTTCTTACTTCAGGAATTTGCCTGTTGGACTTCAAGTCATTGCTCTAAAGAGTAATAGGGAAAGGAAATTAGCATGAAGTTTCTGTACCAGGAGCATGCCAAATTTTAAGTTGCTTAGAAGCTTGCTCAAAAAAATGGATATGAATATTTCAATTACAAACGGAATTGTTTAGTGGGACTTATTCCAACAATTGCAGCTTAAGAAAGGTCACAGTCAAGTCAGATAAATTAGGAAGATTTTAAGTAATATTTAAAACAACTAAAGTACTTGTTGCTTTTGGAACAAGTCTATGGAACAAGTCTATGGAATGAGACTTCATCTTTCCTACAAAGCCCAGAAATAATCATAGCTAGGGACTTCTGCTTCAGATTATACCCCTTATGTAGGTGCTAGCACACCCTGCTGAGTGTCCCTCCTTTACTGTTGTTCTGGAAAGTGCAGTGCACCATGACAGAAATAGTGAAAGGGAATGTCAGCAAAGACATTTCCACATGTGCTAAAGCTCAGTGACCAAGGAATTATTACCTCACCCTTCAGTGGGTAAGCACAGTTGTACTTCCTAGAAAAGCTCAGTGGTGTCAGCTACCAGACCCTAATGTAGTTCTTTACAATAGCATGTAAGGTTACCCTTTTTGAGTTCTGTTTGCAATGGATAAAGAATGTCTGCTGTCATGAAGAATTTTTTTACTCCTCTTTCATCATCCCTGTTTAGATAAAGATTGTAAAGCAGCGAGTGCATTCCATAATGGAAGCCCAGCTTGCTCAGCAGGCCAACAGCAGAGGGGGCTCAGCATTAAGCATTTGCCACCTGCATTTGGAGGGCTGAACAGAAATTTGGCCTCTCAGGCACTGTGTCTCTGCTTTCCAACTACCTTCCAAGTCATAAAAAATATGTATTTTTTTTCAAATATTCAATTTTTTTCCATATTTCCATCCCAAAATTAAAAATTTAACACACACCTCCCCTCCTTACCCCAAAAAATAGAAAAATAAGTTTGGGGTTAAATTTTCAAAATAGTAAAGAAAATAATGACTTACTTTCATATTCTTTCATCCCACTATTTAAAAATCGCCACATTCTTGTGTTTCTATAGAAATCCTCTGTAAAAGTATATACTATTGTCCTTGTGAAAGCAGCTCAGTTCAAAGCCAGATAAGATAGTTATAGCTCTCGGAGTCTTAAGTAGTGACAACATATAATGCTCAGCTCTCATATAATGTTCAGCTCTCTTTGGCTTACAATAATAAACACAGCAAGACAAGTAAAATACTTCTGTTGAAGTTATATTTCAGCTGTAAAAGAATCAACATTGAAAAACTTAATTTTTAGAGTAGAAGTTTCAGGACTGATTTTAGAATTAGTCATATTGGACATATGAGTTGCAAACTGAATGTCTCACCTAGGTTATGTCTCTGTCAAGCACAAGTTTTCAGACAGGAGTTACAGAATGAGATTCTTGGACTTCTAGTGTAGAGCAGATTGCATCACATGAAGTCATATTTCTTTTAACTTCATTATCTGTGACTTCAAACTTTTCTTATTTAGATTTACTAGAAGAACAACTCTTCTTCAGTATAAAAGCAAGACATGTTATACTTTTAAAATAGGCCCAAGGAAAAAGAAATTCAAGCTTTAAGAGAACACTTGAGGGAAAGAAAAAGAGCTGAAAAACTGAATGCTGATAATGATAGGAAGTTTTGTTCTTACTGAATGACAATACCAAGACACTGAATGCTCACTCCTAATTATATCTAAGTACCACATGATTGCGAGAAGAGAAAGGTAGCCCTTACAGGGATGAACTATTTCAGTATTTGAAAGCCTAAGTCAGTCTTCACCTGGGTATTAATTGGAAGCCAGAGGAAAGACCATGCCTCTCATGTATCATCTTTCAGAAATGTCATCTAACATGTAGAAAAACACATTATCTACCTACAGATAGCATAGAGTGGTTGCAGAACCTAGCAAAATACATGAATTGGTGTATTAATTCATCTTGAAGGTGTTAGAGAGCTGTTCATAAAATTTCACTTTCTCTTGTGTGCTGGGGAAGGACAGAAAGGCAGTATAATAAAGTCCTAATATCCCTAGTATTGGGGGATGTGCTCTGGGTATATGAGGGTTACCTAAAATTGCCTAGGAAAGTTTGGAAGTGTGAAGAACAGAGCCACTGAACAGTGACTCCATATATCCCTACCAGAATCCCCAGCAGTGGTCAGGCTCCTTGGAGACCCTGATAAAATTAAGGCAAACAGCATGAATAGTTGGGTGTTGTCCAATGCCAGAAGGAAGTCACAGTCTCAAAGCCTGCTGCCCAGAAGGAGGTCAGTCAGTGGTGTTTGAGCTCTGTAGCACACTAGTTCTCTTTAAGAACTGAGAAAGAAAAATAAATCCTAAAAGTATGGTCCAGAATCTACTGAGGTTCTGCATATATAGACTTGAAAAGCCCCAGCCTCTGAAGGGAAGTGTGGAAGTCTGGCTGCCTTCCAAAGCCTCAGACAAACCAGTCCCAAGGCTCCCAGTAGCTGGTGCCAGGGTGTGTGGTTCTGAAAGGTGGTTAAAATCTCTGTATATTCCTGGGCCCTGCAGCTGGTTTCTTAACTTCTGTCCCACGTACACATCTTATTTTACTGCACTAATACATTGTGTAAGGGAGAGGGAAAGTGGTGATGAGACAAAGGAAAATGTGAGAAACACTACCTTTTGTAGATGTAGCTTGTGTATTTTCTGGGGCCAAAAATCACAGAATCAGAGAATCACAGAGTATTCTAAATTGGAAGGGACCCACAAGCATCACCAAGTCCAACTCTTGTTACAGAGTGAAATTGTACAAATGCAAATTATTCATTGTTTCAAAAATGCTCATCTGTTCTTACACTAAGATAATGAAAGATTTTACTGAGTACCATGACTTACAGATTTGTATCACTCTGTCAAGACATGTTTTGACACATCAAACTTCAGCTAACATACTTGTTTTCATTTCCCTTCCCATCCATTATTGTTTCCAGCAGCAGAAAGTTTCCAGCAGTTATTTTAATGTCTTTCCTTATCCTACAGGGAGACCGTGGCCCACAGGGACCTCCTGGCTTACCTGGTGAAGATGGATCAAGAGTAAGTTGCTGTTCATACAGGAAAATCTAGAGTGAATCCTCATATAATGGAAATAAGGTCATGATTTTTTTTTTCCTAAAACTTGTTTCCTTTTGCACAAAAACAGGGAGAAGATGGGGAAGTTGGACCAAGAGGTCTTCCAGGTGAAGCTGTAAGCAATTCTTTCTTATTCTTCTTCTTCTGTTACAAACAAAAGTCACATTCAGATATTTTTCCAATCTATTGAACTATTTTGAATTGCAGGTATAAAAATTATTTCATGTTTCTGCATATAGAGAATACTGTTTCTGGCTGAAAAGCTAACAAATTGAATGTTTTATTTAGGGTTGAAACACCACTTACAGGATTAGAATTAAGTCAAGGATATATCCAGCTAAGTATATATAACTTCCAGAATCACAAATGCTATTTCTTATCCAATTATGTAAAATCAGTAACTGCCATACATCAGAATACAGCCAAGCCCCTGTTGCTTCTAAAGTATTACCTAAATTTCTACTTATTAGAAAGGAAAGCCTGGGTTCTCCTCTTATTTCACACTACTGTGTTTCATTGTGTATTTTACACTTGTTTCACATACAGAATTTCCACTCCTGTCAGTTGGAATTCTGCAGGTGCTGTCACTGCAGAAGAGTTCTGCATTGCAGGCAAGAAATCAAGCCTCAAAAGGGGAATTTTACCCTACTGCTGCCTACTCACAAAGTACAAACACTTTGCTACAGTCAGAGTCAGTGATTTGTGACTGTGTCATACATGAGGAGACTGGAGACTCAGTTCTGCCTACTTTAGCAGCAGAACATGAATTATGGCACAATAATGATAACCAGTACTCATTGGCATAGTATAGAATGAAAAGATTATGTTACAGAACAAAATCTTGTTCGCCTTATTGATGAGAATAGCCATTGGTCTTTTGTGAAAGCTTTTAGGGATAAGAGCAAAAAATCTAATTTTTGTTTCCAGAATGTCATATATTTATTGTCATAAAATTACTAGCAATTTTTAATTCCTTATCCTTACTATAGATAAAAACATCATTTGTACTTAAAATAGTAATATAGAGTATGACACACCATCATGTTTTCAAAAAAAGGAATACAAATATGTATGTTACTGTTCAGGTCAGACCTTCAGGCAAGACACAGCTAAAATTTTAGTGGAAGATGCTGTGCTAATGTTCTGCACCAGGAAATATAAATATCAATCTCCCACCTTTCTCTGAATTGACCATACAGAAGTATGGTTAAATCAAAGGTTGCCCTTCCACTGATATCCTGTTCAGAAATACGGTGCCCTTGAGGAAAATGTGTTATCAGTGAATTTTACCCGTTCTTCTTTTCTTTCTTCCTAAACACCCATGCTGCCTTCCCTTCATCCTTCCTACTCCTTATTCCATTCCTCAGCCAGTCCTGCTCACAGGCATTTATGTTTAGAAAAAATCATGCAGCTGTCAATAAGGGTTTCTTCTCTTGCAGGGTCCACGGGGATTACTGGGCCCCAGAGGAACACCTGGGCCCCCTGGACAACCTGTACGTATGAGCTGTCGAGTATTTCCAGTTTCCAGAAGGAAAAAAAGGAAGTCCACTGAAAATTGCTCTTGTTATATTGTCTGTTGTAGGGCATTGCAGGTATTGATGGACCTTCAGGCCCAAAGGGAAACATGGTGAGTAAGTAAACTGGGAATTAGAAAGATTCTAAGAATGCTTTCCACATTCTCTCATCCCTCCAACTATGCCATCCCTTCCATTTAATTAAACTTTTATGTCAACTAGTTGGATTCATTATGATTTTATATGGAAAAGGCAAGGCTTCTGTTACTTAGTTTTCAGCCAAAAGCCCTGACCATGCTTTCTCTCAGACTCCTTTAGCACCATGGACTCCAGTGCTCAGGTCCTATGTGTGGGCTGTTATTCTCTGTTAAATAAAAGGTCATGATATTCATTAGCATGAAAAAATTTCATACTGGAGAGAAAGTTGCTGGTAGACTTTAAAGAGGGAGGAACAAAGATGAGTTTGTACTCCTTTTAGTCCTGACAATGAAGATCTGTAGTGCAGAAATGCAAACCTAATGCCCTACTATTTTTTTGCATGGTAGGGTCCTCAAGGGGAACCAGGACCTCCTGGTCAGCAAGGAATTCCAGGCCCACAAGTAAGTGTAAAGAACTCTCAAGAAATACGATGTAATGTGCAGCAAATGTTTAATAAATGGAAATTACTAAAAGGTTAGCTTTTCATGTGCAAAACCGATAAAGCTTCAAGGATTTTATAAATAATGCTGCAAATGTGGCGAGGGGAGTGGAAGCAGAGTTTTCAAGTAAGTTTTCAGAGGGATTTTTCATTCAGGAGAAAAATGACTCATTCAGTGTTCCTGGAATGCAGCAGGAATGGCCACACCTGGAGGAGGGTTCTGAATAGGATCTTGTTACAGACCTACTGCCAGAATAGTGGCTTGTGCAAAAGGCTCGCACAAAACTCCTGACCTAACTTGTAAGGGGGGAAAAAAAGCCACTTATATTTGCCCGTGTGTTGAAACAGATTAATGAGGGACCTTTAGTAGAGTGAATGTATGTACATTGTTCTCCCTGGTTTCTCACACTGGCTTCTTTCTAATAGGGGCTTCCTGGTCCTCAAGGTCCTATTGGGCCTCCTGGTGAAAAAGTAAGTTGGAACATTATTTTGTTACTTCACAGTCAGCTTGGTGCCACAACCTTGTTTACCAGCTTTGCTATCTTTTATGGAATAATAAGCTTAATTTAATATTAGATCTTCCTGAAATCATCAATAAATGAATAACCAATGAATACCCAATGGCTTTCCTCTCATATACACTTTTTCACAAGCATAACTTCCTCCCTTTATTTTGGATTAATTTTGTGTTATTACCTTCAGAATCTCATCTACAATATTAAACAATTTATACTTGAATGTTACTTAATTTCACAGCAAGCTGTAAAAATTATTTTTCTTAATCTCTTTTTTATAACAAAGTTTTACCTATTCAAGTCTAATTCTGGTCTTTTTTCAAGGATTATATTATGACATAACTCTGCAGTGTAATTGGCATACTGTAGTGTCCTTTGGTGGCTTTTTCCTCATCTGTTTGCAGATGTTCTTTTGGCTTGAAACCTGTCTTCTATTCATTTAAAACATGTCACTACTGAATTTCTTGCTAATTTTATTATTCTCCCCTTTTTGCTGAATTCCTTCTCAATTCATTGTTTGACTTTTTCCCTCTTCACTGTTTACTCTAGTCTTCTGGAGAAATTAATACTTTTTACTGTCCGTGTGCTTAAGTATTATTCTAGCAAAATGGACAGGTCCCATGATATCTACATTTCCTAGGCTTTCACAAAGGCATACCAGACCTTTCAGCTATGAGCACTGGAGTTCTGTACCCTGCACCCTTTGCCTCTTCAACTTGTTGATAACTTTCATTGGTGAATTCTTTCATTCCTGAAATTCTAAATAGTACTTAATTTTGCACACCAGAGAACTCTTCCCCACCTTGTGTTATGTATGTGCATGTTCATAGCGTAATTCCTGAAGCCTGTTCTCAGGCAAGCATCTCATTGAAAATTATGGATTATTTTTGTAGTCTAAAGATAGTAAGTAAGTGCCCTTACTTACATATGGTACGAAAGTGTCATTCTGGCTTTAGTTTTATTTTTGTCCTATCTCTGATATCCATATCAAGGGACTTAGGTATGACTGTATTTTATGTTCTTAGCTCTTAGGGTCACATGTGTTGGGCCTGTTTGCTATTGTTCTTAAGATGTGTGTCTGTTACTGCATTTAGGGACCACAAGGCAAGCCTGGCCTTCCTGGCCTTCCTGGTTCTGATGGGCCACCTGTAAGTAAAGAAATATTTAATCCTTTGAATGTTTAACTACTTTTACTAAGTGACAAATACTTCTGGATACCTGTGTTACAGAAACAAATGGAGGGGGAAAGTAATGGTTGGCAACAGCATTATAAAATCCATCTAAAATCCATTTATCATTTGAGCTGTTAAAACTAAGAGAATTACATTTTTGAAGCAGCTGATAAAAACATCTGTGGGCTTTTAAAATGTGGTCCCAGGTGATGAAATGCCTCTGCAACATCTTCAGGGATGCGTAAATAACCTACTGGCACACAAAGAGCCAAGTACTGTTCCACTGTATCCTTCCATGCCAGTCCAGCAGAGCAAATCACCTGTAAAAATGTTCACCACTTGTCCTCTGAGGAAACACAGAACAGACTACATCTTTCTCAGCTTCCTGGCTTAAGGTGCATATTATGTGTTTAAGGTGCTTCTTGCATTGTCTAGACTGGGACATACCTAAGCCAAACTTTGTGATTGCCAAGAAATCCAGCTTCACTGTGAGGCTGCAATTGCTCACGTGAACATAGTGTAACCACTTGAGCAGCATAGCTTAGGCATTCAGCTTAAATGGAATCATTGGCCATAATGGCATACCCATATGCTTGTTTTCTTGCAGCAAAAACATACTTTTGTGTACAATGAAGAGCCTTTAGACAATGTTATTTCTGAGACCTTGACTATCCTCCCCATGCAATTGTCCCTTACAATTTTTCTTTTAGGTGAAATCTGCATTTCTTAAACCTGACTTTTTGCAAGGTTTAACAATATCACTGCAAATATATTGCAAATACAGAAGTGTTCCCAGGGCTCTCACAGTCTAGCCTTTTACCTGCCAAAGTACCAATTTAGTGGAGAATGTTAAGTGTGCAGTGATTGTCCAGCTGAGTGTCTGTATCTTGTATCACTGTCTAAACATTTGAATGTTTCCCCTTGTCCTTTCCTGCATACTGGAACCAATGTCAATTTCCAAACACAAGCATTATTTGTTATCTGCATCTTGTTAAACCTTCAAAGCAGGGGGGAAATGCTGTAAGAGATAATCAGGTGTCAGCATAGGTTTGTACCTGACACAGACCCCTGCTGTGGTGGGTTGATCCCAGTCAGCAGCCAAATACCCACCTACTCACTGGCCCACTCCTCCCACAGCAGGGGAGGGCACAGAATTTGCAAGGGCAAAAGCAAGAAAACTCCTGGGCTGAGGTAACAACAGCTTAATAAGTGTAACAAAGCTGTGCACACAAGCAAAGTAAAATAAAGGATTGATTCACTACTGCCAATCTGCAGGCAGATGGCCAGCCACTTGCTGGGAAGTTGGTTATGAATGTCCTCCTTCCTCCTCCTTTCCCTGAGCTTTTATTACTGAGTATGACATCATATGGTATGGAATATTTCCCTGCTCAATTTGGAACAGTGTCCCAGCTGTGTCCCCTCACAGCTCCGTGCCCTCCCGCAGCCTAGTCACAATTATCTGTTAATCTTCAGTTTCATTAAATTGCCTTTAAATGTTGCAATTTAAGTGCAATTTTTTTAAGAACAGAAAACAGTGGATTGGCTCATGTTTTGAGTGCTGTAGTTTTAATGTCAGTGATATAAAGCAAAATCTAAAATGTAAATTTATTTTGTTTAAAAAGCAAGTCACAGTTTAGAACAAAGACATAGAATGTTAAAAATAAATCAGCCCTCTATTGAATCTTTTAATAAATTCTATAGTTTAAAAAATATTTTTTAGGAATGCCTTCATTCTACAAAATAAATCACCCATTTTTCAAAATCAAAGGAGAGAGTCTCTTACATTAAAAGCCTCTTACTGCTGAAATATTAATTAAACAGAAGGTTGGGTCAGCATATTCCTGAAAATATAGACATGAATGTAACTATTGTCCAGTTTTTTCTTTGTTATGTAAATTATATTGGTATTGAAAATAAAAACTTTTCTCAAAATTTTGTGTGTCTATTCTAATACAAAAGAAATGTGATTAATGTCCTGAAATTCAAATGTTTAAATAACTGTGTTTTTGTAATAAAATGTCACTCCTTAAAAATTATTGCTTTTCAAAACAGATACATTTATCTTAAAACAGGGTCACCCTGGCAAAGAGGGTCAGTCTGGAGATAAAGGTGCATTGGTGAGTTTTAAAACTTTTCCATTTATTTACATAGATTTCAAGAAAACTTTTGGTAGTTTTTCATCTTTATGACACATTTATCACATTTGTTGCTTGCAAGAACTATTTAAGGAGACAATAGACAACCCGTGACACATTCAAAGCATCTTCTAACAGACAAACATATATATTAAAAATATTAAAGATTGTAAATGATATAAAGATTATTCTTTTAAAGTAAACCTCATCTTGGAGTTTGCGGAGTGGCAATGAAGAGTTGCACACATTTCATATAAACAACTTGCAGATGTTTTGAGTTTTAAATTCTGCTTTGTGGAGTACTCACAAAAGTTCTTCAGAACCTGCTTTTTTTTGAAGGTGTAAAACTACATGCAGAGACCATGCATTTTTTAGGTTATCTTCAATTCAGTGTCTGTGTAAAGTATTTTTTTCAATCTTATGAAGTCCTGAAAGGGTCTTGGATCTCCATAAAGTGTTCTGCTTACTCAGTGTCGACCCTTCTTTAACCAGAATAACACCCTTCATAGCACCTGAATTCAGCTTCGGTTTTTGGGAGCAATACTAAAAGGTTGTATCCTGGATGACAGGATGAGTGAATTAATAGGACATTTCAGAAAGTACAGCACCACTGACATCAGCATATTATATATGTCAAAAGTGTTGTTATTGTAAAAGACATGTAAATGTTATCCTGATTTCTTAAGAAGCACACACAGCATTTACGTTTTGCACGTCCAGGCAGGTTGCCATCTGCCAGTTCTTATGTCTTTTGAATTTACTGATCCATTTCAGCCAAATTTGATAGAAAGTTCAGTTTCTCAGAGATATTAACAGTCCAAAGGTTTCATGAAAAGACACACTGGAGAGAGGAAAAGGACCCTATCAATGTCCCCATTCGTAACAGATTTTGTTATCTGTTCTTCTCTGACACGGGAGAATCAGCAGAGCAGCTCAGAGGTATCATGTTTCCAGGCTTCTTGGCTTCTACCCTTCACAGAACTCAGTTTCTCTAGGCCCTGCCATCAGATTGTATAGATCCAAGTTGAACATCATTAAAATAATCAGCAAAATCTAACTAAAAGAATCCAGGCACCAGTCAGTATTGGTAGCACCATGAACCTTTTAGCTTCCAGGCTTGAAATGTCATTTTTGTTCTTTTTTTTAAGACCATGATATTTTGTTATTCCTATTATTTGTGTCTCTATTTTTGACTTGTGTCATCATCATAATTAGCCTATAAATTTTCTCCAATAAAGCACCACTGGTTTCTAAATGGCTGGTTTTTTTTCCTGATTGTTTGTTCCTTTTTACAATTACCATTGTTTCAGATAATTTATGTTGTGGATAGGTGCTTCGCAAATATACAAGTTAAATCCAAGTTCACAATTAGTTCACAATTCTATTAATAGTTTAGAGTGACATTGAATGGTGCTTTTAAATGCCTTAACTTTTCTTAGTGGCAGGCAGCCCAGTGTTAGTTTGCTGTCTCATACATTATACTGAAAGAATAAGGATTGGATTCTGAAGAGAACTGCTTGCTAACCAAAAACTGTACAAACAAATGTTCTTTGCTTCAATGTATTTTAGGGACCTCCAGGTCCTCAGGGTCCAATTGGATACCCAGGTCCTCGTGGTGTAAAGGTAAGATTTAATTACTGGATTCCTCCTCTCACACCTTTTGAATATATGCATGTGGATAATTATTTATATTCTTCCTTTAGGGTGCTGATGGTGTACGTGGACTCAAGGGATCCAAAGGTGAAAAGGTAAATCTGACTGCAGTTAATTCTTTTCCCTTTTTACACTGCAGCCTCTTCTGCCTCCTTCACTGCAGTGTGCTTTATCTCACAGCAGTGAGTTTATTTTTACCTTTCCCTAAAGGCATACCAAGCCCAGTGCCTAAATCAGTGACCTTCATGGTTATTTACACTGGTTAAAGTGAATATAAAACCTTCAGTTATTAGAATGGTTTTGAATCCTCTTTGCACCAGTTTAGGTAACTTGTCTCTAAAGTGGCCTTGAATAGAGAATTAGACATCCCTCCCTTATTAGTAGATACTGTAGTGCATCAGAGAGATTTGTGGTGATAATACTGTATTTATCTGTTTTGATAGAGCCATAAAATAGATCTGTATTTTTAAAGTACATTGGGCAATGGCTTTCTAGGCTCAAGGTATTTTGTCCCAGATCTTTGGCTTTGCCGAAGTGATGGACAGCCCCAGTCAGATCTATGTATATGAATGTGAAGAAAGGTCTTATTTCCCCTGATGCCATTAATTCTGTGTGTAGAGCTTTTCCTAGAGCAATCACCAACCACTGCGGTCTGGGCTGACTCCTGATGGTCTGCGGTGGCTGAAACTGCAGCCAGTGTTGGTTTAAAGTCACACTTCCTTCAGCACTCAAAATAAGAGACACACAACAGACTCCATCAGTCATACCACCTCGTGAGCACACAGGCAAATCCACTCTTGTGGCTCTGCTGGCTAATGTATCTATATATCTATATATAGATAAATATATGGTCTACAGATATTTATAGATATTCTAAAGTAGAAGACTACGTCTTGCCAAAAAGCCTGGATTCAGAACTTGGCTCAGATGCCAAGGGCTGCTGTACATTTTCAAGCCTTCCTAAACCACAATTTGTCTAGGCTGCATGCTCATTTTAGATTTGTTCATTAAATCTAAGCTGAAAAAGAGTGTGTTTAACACCCATGGAGACTGGACAGTTCAAAACCCCAGCTTTTTCTTGTGCTTTATTGGATGATTAATATCCTGTTTGGACAAAATACAGGACTTATATATAAATACATTTCATAGATGTGTGTATATCAATGAATACTGATTAGCATAATGTCTACAATACTTCTGTGTTCTTAAAACTGATCTATCTCCCAGTTGCAGTAAGACAGTAAATTCTACTGAATACCTCCAAAGGTCACACAAAGCTATTTCATCCTTTGTTCTCTTAGTGTTTTAGGGGTGTGTTCTCCGGCCTTTTTGTACTGAAGTTATTCAGCTGCCATTGCATGGGGGAGAGCAGTGCAAGAGAACAAAATAAATAATCTTATCATTCAGAGAAGCCCCCATAGATCTGGAATGGTCCAGGGATATCAGAGGAGGTCTATCTCTGTACTGACCAGTAAATGTGACTAGAACTCTTTAGTTATTTTATTAATTGTTACCAGCAGAGGAAGAAATAGAGCACTCAGCTCTCTCCTCCTAAACAGAATAAAATCAGCCTCTTGTAGGTCTCAATAGCAGGAGCCTCACTGTGAAAGCTGAAGAGTTTCAGTTCATTTGGCAGCCATTTGGTCAGTAGTTGACACGTGGTCACTCCTTGCTAAAGGTTCTCATGTAATTATTACTGGCCATATTACTGCCTATAACCAAGCAACTTTTACTGAAGCTTTTTTTGATGTATTCTTCACACTGCATTTTTCATTTCTTTCTAAATATTAAGGAAAGCCACCTTTAAATTTAAATTTATACAATATAAGATGACCACATAAAACTTTGTTTCATCATATAGAAAGCATGGGAAAACTACTTTTAGACTGGTTTTTAGTATATTTTTTTCAATTAATCATAGTGTAACCTCTTTGGGGGTTTTCTTGCATTAACACATTTTATTGAAAAACTGTATTTACTTGTTAGATTTACTTTGGGTTTTTGGTTTTGGTTTTTTGTTGTTTTTTTTTTTGTTTTGTTTTGTTTTGTTTTTTCTTTTTTGGTTCTTTTTGTTGTTGTTGTTTGGGGTTTTTGTGTTTTTATTTTGGGAGGGGGGTGTTTTGGTTTGGTTTGTTTTTTATTTTTTGTACTTTTGATGCCTCCTTGCCTATTTTGAGTTTGCCACTACCAGATCTACTATCACTCTTTCTAGGGTTATTGTTGCATACTCTATGACTACTTCCAAATTCAAAATGGCTTTAACCCTGCAGTCCATCTCACTTGGTGATCAGGGAGAAGATAAAATTTCTGTGGGCCTAGGAATGCAAAAAGCATAATCCTCATGTTCTTTTTGAACATGAGGATTAAATATAAAGCTTTCTTGCTTCTTTTTTTGGTCTTTTTTTCTTTAGTAATGTCCCATGAGCACATTGTCACTCTCTCCTGGTTTTATTGACATTCCAAATATTACTCAGATTCAAAGTCAGCAGTATTACTTTAGCATATAAAAGACTAATAGCATTATAGCAAAATATTTTACTACATTATTATTAATCACAAAGACCTTTGCTGCCATGTTACAGCTAAGCATCAGATGAAAATGGAGTCCTTGTTGCCTGGATTTTGGAACAGTAGTTCTGTGATGAGTTACATAGAATCACAGAATGACTAGGTTGTGGTTGACCTTCAGGATCATTGAGTCCAGCCTATGCCCTAACACCTCAACTAAACCATGGCACTGAGTGCCACATCCAGTCTTTTTTCAAGACATCACATATAGTGACTCCACCACCTCCCCAGGTAGATAATTCCAGTGCTTTATCATCTTTTTGTAAAAAAACTTCTTCCAACCTATATTTCCCTTGGCGCAGCTTTAGACTGTGTCCTCTTGTTCGGTCAGTTGCTGCCTGGAGAAAGAGACCAGACCACATCTGATCACAGACACCTTCCAGGGAGTTGTAGAGAGTGACAAGGTCACCTCTGAGTCGCCTTTCTCTCCAGGCTGAACACCCCCAGCTCCCTCAGTCATTCCTCACAGGGTTTGTGTTCCCAGCCCCTCACCAGCCTCGTTGCTTCCTCTGGATGTGCTCAAGTGTCTCAACGTCCTTCCCAAACTGAGGGACCAGGACTTGACACAGCACTCAAGGTGTGGCCTCACCAGTGCCGATTACAGGGGGAGAATGACCTCAATGCTCCTGCTGGCCACACTGTTCCTGACACAGGCCAGGATGGCCTTCTTGGCCAGCAGGGCACACTGCTGGCTCATGTTCAGCCGTCTGTCGACCAGTACCCCCAGGTCCCTTTCTGCCTGGCCACTGTCCATCCACACTGTACCCAGCCTAGAGCATTGCAGGGGGTTACTGTGGCCTAAATGCAGGACTTGGCATTTGGAATTATTAAACTTCAGAAAGAGAGAACCAAAAGCTGATCAGTTTATGGTGGAGCAAGACATAAACCACTCTGCTGAACACATCTGGAGATTTCTGCTTGTATCTGAACACATATACGTGAAAGTGAAATTTTTCTGAGTACTGTGCTTGTAGTTCAGCATGGAGACTGATTTACATGTGTTTCTGCCTTTTTTAGGGTGAAGATGGTTTTCCAGGATTTAAAGGTGACATGGGTCTTAAAGGTGACCGGGTAAGCATTTATTCATAGCCCGTATATTCTTAAAACTTTTAATTTTATTGTTTTGAAAGGATCACTGAAGTGAACAAATATTCTTAAACCAAACATAAAATAAAGGCTAGTATTTTAAAATATTTCTATTCCCTGTGCATGCACAAATTCAATTCAGAGATATGGTTCTTGTGAATCAAAAATAGCACAATCATAAAGAGGAAGAGAATGTCAGTCTTGAATATCCTTTTCACTGAGCTTCTTCCTATGGAATTGTCTTTCCCAGATTCCAAGATCTCCAGTATTTGTCTGAGGAAAAGTTATCTATCTAGGATAAAGATATTTCCATTCCAGTCCAGCATTTTGCACATCTCTGCCAAAACGCTGTTTATTTAGCCCAATGAGCAATTGCTTCCTTTCATAGGAAGTGTTGTGGAGGTTGTAAAAAAGCTTTTCATAAGAGCCTCCTGGCCTGTATCTGTAGTCTGTATACATAAATAACTGTGAAGATGGTAGCCACATTTGATACTTAGATAAAGACAAGTTTTTTCCTATGGACTGCCAGGGTGCCTTGTCAAAAATTTAGGAAAGGAAAAATAAGAATAAAATTTCCAAATGCAGCTGTCTTCAAGCAAGACAACTAGGTTCTAACACTCTGAATGTGATATTCACTGCCTAATATTTATATATTTGCATTTATATAATGAACATTAGTAGTGATATTTTCCTAGTAGGAAACTGGACAGGGCTTACAGCAACCTGATGTATTTGGAGATGCCCCTGTGCACTGCAGGAAGCCTGGGTGACATTTTAAGGTTCCTTCCAACCCAAACTATTGTATGACTCTATTATCTGTTTAGATTTACTGAAAATTTATTTTCAATTACTTGTATGTAATCTTTCCAATATGTGCATGAATATTGTTCCATATTTATAAGGTGATGTATTTTAGGGAGAAATTGGTCAGCCAGGTCCACGAGGAGAAGATGGCCCAGAAGGTCCAAAAGGTCGAGCAGGTCCATCTGGGGATCCAGGTGCTGCTGGTCCAGCTGGGGAAAAGGTCAGTAGCCAGAAATCAACAGAAACATGCCATTGCCTCATAACATATCTGGAATCCGTAACCTGCATCACTGAAAAACAAGTCTTCAGATCTGCAAAATCTTTTTGTGACACTACTGCAGCAGACCACTGGAGTTCCCATTTGATCAAGGATTGAGAATCCTTATCTTGTAAGTATGCAAAGAGGCATTGTAGTACTCCATCAATAAATAAGGCAACTCCATTCTTATCCCTAGTTATATACAGTGCATGCCAGCTGTGGAAAACACATTGCAAATAAAATAGCAGGGCACAAAGGAGGATAAAGGTGCTGCTGAAGAGTGAATTCATATTGAGTCGTATTACTACAAATGGTGACTTGGAAATTTTATTTAATGGAAAACATTCCCTGAATACAAATCCAAAACAGAGTTGCCAAAAGGGAAAGGGGATGAGGGAGGACTGTTAAAAGGATGATGAAAAAAGAGAAATCAAGCACAAGGTACAAATCTCTGTAGAATCCTGGCTTCAGCAATAACCATTTGAGTTTGGTATAAAGGATGGAAAGGAGGCTGAGAAATGTATGTGGGGGTACTGTCAGAAAGGAAAGGTGATTTCAGCAGTGGTAGTAGAAATAACTGGAGAAGTATGATAATATAAAATAACATAAAATTATGGTTCAAAATGTATGTGATACATACATATAAGTGTAAACATATATCACTTAAGTGAGAAGATGCTGATGAAAATATTTCCCTTTAAATTTTTTTCGTGAACTATAGCTTCAATTCTATTTCTCTCTTGAAAAAAAAATAGGAAAGAGGGTGCATAAACCAAATCAAAACAAAACAAACCTTTTTTTAAATAGTTGGTAGATTTTAAGTTCCAGTTTGAGTTATTTTTACTTATTCTTATTCAAATTGCTTGCTATGAATATAGGTTTTCAACCATTTCTTCTTCACTGTGACATATTTGGGACTCTCACAGTATACAAGTCAGGAATCTGAAGCCCTAAATATCAGAAGATATTTGAAAAAAAATGTTGGTGTTGATAACACTATTAGCTGGCCTTGGAATTTTAGACCCACGGTTTTCCCTTTTCCAGAAATATTTACAGCTTTTTTTGCCCACTGGAAGGCACACATCTTCTGTGGATATTCTATGGATACTTGGCCAGAATGGAATGGGTCAGAGAGAAACTCTTTGGTGCTGGTCCTGTGATATTTATTTTAGTGCTGAAACTGGAATAGTCGTGAACTTTTAGATCTTCTCACAACATTTGGAAAGTCTGTAAGAGCAGATGTGAATGTCTTGTTCCCTTGTTATTCATATGATGTATTTAATGCAAAGGTATTATTATTGTAAGAAAAGTAATGAAATTACTACAGTAGTTCTTATTCTCTGTGTTCTGATTCCATGATAAGAAAACTCTATTTCTCAAGTAGGTATAAAGCTGGATTTTCTTGGTTAATGAAATCTCAAGTAGGGTGCCAAAAAAATTAGGAACATATCAGAAATGAGCTCATAATAAAAAAAGGATCTGTATTCACAGTCGCAGCCTAGGTAACTGGGCTTGCTGACACAAAAAATTAGGGAGAAAACTTTCATGGAATCTGACAAGAGTTTGATGTGCTGTCATGCTGCAAAACATTTAAATCATTGCAATGCATGTGGCTTGTTTCAGGGGCAAATAACAGGCAGCATTGTAAGCAGTGTACTCAACATAGACGTTTTTGGGAAAATTTCCTTCCCCATGCAAGTTTCTTCCTATTTATCTATGGTTACTGCAGAGTACCATATGATACTTTACAGTCATATTTTACATTGAGATCTTATCCAGAATTTGATATTCCAGAACATAGAGAAATTCTTCCCCAGAGTTCCCATCTCTCAAAGTCTGAAACTGCTTTCCCTTGCCTTTGAAAGTGGCAAACCATCACTCATCCTCTAGAGGTCCAAAGAGACCAACTCAGTGGAGTAGGGTACTGTATTTCATTTCTGGGAATGGTCAATGTCAGTGCTGATCAGTCTTTTCTGAACGCTGCAAGTTGGTAATGGTTGTTGACAAATCCATTGTCAGCAAATAATCAGTGGAGTATAATTTATCATAGTCTCGGTTTAGAACTATTCAAGAAAATAACTGGTTCTTCAAATGCCTATTCATGAAAGTCAGCCATCATATAGTATAAATTGAAAAGCATTTCTTCTCACTTAAACCTCTTAATGCCCTGATTTTTTAGAGAATAATTGTAGTTTAATGATTTCAACCACATAGAACTGTAGAGCACTTCATGGAAGAAAACCTTCGAGGTATTGGTTTCTTTGGTTTCATTAATTGTAGTAGGATTTTCATTTAAGTTTGGGGCCCTAAGCCCCCTGGTGATTAATTATAAAAATGAGAAACTGATTTAATTTAATATTATATTCCATAGAGTATCATCACTCTATGTTGTTGAAAAATCCTTTTGTATAGAAGCTTGCTGAACCACAAAGGAGGATACAGTAAAACATTGCCTTCTCATTGCAGGGCAAGCTTGGTGTACCTGGACTGCCAGGATATCCAGGAAGACAAGGTCCAAAGGTGAGCTGTAAATGAGCTGCATATTGAGTGCTTTGACACTGGTTACAATGGCACTTATTTCATTTCTGTGTTTGGGGAAGCAGGGTGTGGACATCAAAGAAAGGGCCATTTTCCCATTTTCTTTTTTGACAATAATATTCTGAAGTAAAATCATCTACAGTGTGACCCCAAGATCAGGCTCTTTATGGAGCACTACCTCTTAACTCTTTTTAATATAATGCCCTTTACCATCTTCTCCTGAGCTGCATTGTGCCAGCATCAGACTGCCATGCACTAAACAATTGCAAAAGGAAGGAATTGCTGACATTCTTGAAAGAGAATAGGCATGATATTGACTAAATGGATGCTGATAGTGATGGAAATTTCCAGTGTGGTGCAGGGATTCCATTTGTGTGATTATTGCTTCTTCCATGGAATAAACCATATTTCTTTGAAACATATCATTTACAAGTTTTCCTCATGTTTTCCTTTAGTTTCTTTTAAGTCAAACATGACAAAACACAATCCTTAGTTAATTTAAGCACCTACATTTATCCTTCATCTACTTTATATATTTGGATTGCAATAGAAAACCACACGGGGGCTTCTGGTTTAAAACATTTTTATAAAACAAATTTCTATCAAGTTAATCCTAACCCATCTTTAGGAAATGGGCATGTTAAATTAATTGCAGGATCTCTTTTCTGAGATTAGAAAGAAAAAAGATGGAATAAAAGCATAAAGACATTTCACTGTGTAAAGAAGACCATTAGGGAAACACTGTAGCTCTAGTCCTTCTCAAAGAATTCCCATCTAGGTAAATATCACAAGTGAAAGAATCCCTTACCACTCCTATATATCTGACCAATCAACCTGCAGTAAAATCCTCAGTTCTCTTCTACTTTGGATTTATTTTTATTTCCAAATCTGAAATTATGGGGGGTTTTAGATGAAATGCAACTTCCAGACTAGCAAAGTGTTTTTTCTCGCTCTGCCCTGTACTTCAACCCTTTTTAGCCAAGTGAATGGACTGTCTGAAGAATGCTTATTCACTGAACACTGCATTAGTGAAAAATATTAAAACTATCTATGGAAAGTACTCATGAAAACTATTCACCATGAAAGACACAGGGGTTTTGGCTTCAGTTTCTTAACTCAAAATGTCTGAAATTTTAGAATTGTAGAATTTTAGAATTTTTTAGAATTTTAGAATTGTCTTTTGAAATTCTAACATAAGAGTTTTACATTATTCAGGTCTAAGAACAAAAATGAGGTAACATTTCAAATAAAAGTTGATTGATTATTTTTTCAACAAGGACTTGATCAAGAATTTCCTTGCATTAAGTTTTTATCACATTAAAATTGAAAATAGCTCTCAAGCTGCATTCACTGTTGCTCTTCCAATTTTTTGCTTAAATTTCTAAGAAAGACTAATGGCAGCTACAATAGATAATTCACTAGAGACTTCTTTGGAAACTGAGTCACAGGCCAGTTCAAATGAACATGACAGAGTGAGAAAAAAGCAGCAAAAATATGATAGCTATGTAAAGCAAATAGGAAATCTTGTCCTAGTATTGTCAAGAAAGTTGACATTATTCTTTTTGTTGATACTTTGTTTTTGTTTTTTTTCTAAGAGTTGTTTTAGACTACTGCCTTTATCTGCTAATTTTCAGTACACTTTTATTTTTCTCTAGTCCACTCCTTCTTCATTAGCACAGTTGCAAAAACTGCTGTGCATGTAAGATATTTACAACCAAGTCATGACTACTCCTGCCCCATCATTTGGTCTGGATTTTTTCCAGCCTTTTAATTTTAAAGAGCATGCTTGGGCTTCACAGACTATAATTTTTAGTTTTATTCTTATATAAAGTTATAACTAGTGAAGAATTAAGAAGTAAGAAAGGAAATAAAAGGAAAAGGAATGTAAAAGGAAAAGGAAGGAAGAAAAATATTACTTTTCTGCCACCAGTCAATATCAGTAAGTGTTTCATTAGAATATGTGTTAGTGAAGTTATACTACCTCTAAGTCTTTTATGGATAATTGGAATGGTTATGTAAAACAAGATTCATTAGAGGAAAAACAGAAGTAAGAACAAGAGAAAAACAGGGAAAACAGTTCATTTCAAAGAGCACCAAGAAATTATATTTTAGGTTTTTGTTATATGCATTTTATTTGCCACTAAGATGCTAACAGCAAGCTGCACAGACATAGATGCACTATGATAGCAGGGACCCTGGCTAGTAAATTTCAGTGGCCAACCAAACCAAACACTCTCTATTTTCATCCCCAGTCAGTTAAAAGTATATTTTATCATGATTATCACCTCTTTGATCCCAAGTTCCTTATGAAAAATTAACACCTTGGCAGGTAAAAAGTCTGCTGTCCCACTGAACCTCTCTGCCAAAATCAAAGAAGAAAATAGTATTGTTCCCATTGGACCGGGCAGTTAGCAGAAGGAAAGGGGAGGAAAAAAGGAGGAGAAATAGAGCTGGGAGCAGTTTCAAATCAGATCATATCATAAGTTCTGCTTATGTACGAGTTGCATGGATCATTTAAATGAAACTGTCCATTGGTTGGTTTACAGTGACAAAAAGAGCTTGAAGTAATTAATTTACAGCTCAGTAAAGTGAATAGAAGATGTGGCAAATCCTTACCATTTTTTTGAATTATTTTTTAAAATAATTATCTTACTATGAGGCAACAAGGCCTTGTTTGTTTATCTTCATTATGATACAGTTATTTCTAGTGGACTGTTACTAATTATTGCTTTCCTGCTTTAAAAAAAAGGTGCAGAATTAATGAATATTTTATTGTCTAATAAGATGACAAATAATGTCGATTCTATACATTGATTTTTTTAATGCTTTCTGGACTGACTTGAGGCATTATGGTAAGTTTATTTACAGCTTTCATAAGTTTATTTACAGCTGTTTCAGTTGCAAGTTTGACATGTATGATGTACATGACTTTGGAGTTGTGCTTTATGTGTCTGTTAAATGTTGGCTCTACCACTGTTTTGCTCTTGATATCCTCTGACATTTGCATTGATTTCTTACATAGGGCTCAACTGGTTTCCCAGGATTTCCAGGTGCCAATGGAGAGAAAGGTGCAAGGGTATGATAATTCATTCTTGCATAACACTTTATTAGGTTTTAAAATTCAGCGCTGGGAGAAAAGACTGAAACCTAAGGATACAAGTTACTATCTAAAGAATGATAAAAACAGGCTTTTCACATTCAAGATGGACCTCTATGTAAAACAGATCATACTGAGGCACTATTTGCAATTCTTTAAGGTGTTGATCTAAATATACAAGAACTTGCACACTTTCTTGCTGCACATAGTGTCATAGTTATATAGTTTGAAAAAGAGAATAAAAATCACCTTTGCTGAAGGGCTTAGGGTTTGGTTGTTTGGGGTTTTTTTGGACAGTATAGCTGAGTGAGTTGGCAAGAACTATTTTCCTGTATCCCATGAATTATCCTGCTACCATGCAATTTACCCTCAAGGAAATTCAGCTTGTATTTCATAAATATTCTGACTTGCCACAAGGGGTTTTTTTTTAGGCTTAGCTTCAAAAAGGCAAAATATACCAGGCAAGATGAAGAATGTGTGCTATTACGTATATTAAAAAAAAAGTAAAATTACATCTTCTGCTGCTTTGTTTGCTTGAAGCAGGTGAGAGGAAATGTGTTATGCTTGTTCCTCAAACTATAACAATTAAAAATAGATTGTGCTGTTGTCTCTAAAATTCAATTGAATATAGCAGGGTATGTTAGAAAGATGGTGAAATTAAGAGATGAGTCAGAATTCATAGCTGATAGCAACATCAAGTCAAACAGGTAATATATATTACTATTATTCTTAAATTATTCTATTATTCTTATTATTATTATTCTTAAATTATTTCTTTTAAAGTTAAATAAATGAAATCCAATAGTATTTGCATTACTTATGTATGGTTTAAATTATTCTATTATTATTTCAGCTAAGGTAAAGATGCATTGTTATGTACAGGCACAAGCAACAAAGCAGTGCTCATTTCATGTTGTGGAAAAATGAGGCAACTGATAATAAATGCAGCAGATTAAAAAAAAAAAAAAAGCAAAACGATTGAATCAAACAGGAGGCTTAAAATTATGAAAATCTTACTATATTGCTTTCAGGCCTTCTTAAAGGCCTGTTTTCAGGCCTTCTTAAAGCTTTAAGTTCAGCTAGGGTATTAACCATGCAATTAATACCATCAAACTGCTGGTACACTGAAATATTATGCTGATCATCAGTGAGCCCATAACTGCATGTTTTGTAATGAGAATCAGCTATTATTGTTAATCTTGCCTAAAGGGTTATCATGGTGTTTTATGCTACCACGCATACACGTGAAGAAAGTCAGTCCCTGTCCTTGAGAAGATCACAGGCTGAGTAGCATTTCAAAAACAGCACATAAATTTTATTCTGCTAAGTGAAATAAAACCAACAGTAAAAAAAATAAAAGAAAAAAAGAAAAAAAAATCCCTGCCAAGAAAACAGATGAGTGCATTTAATTCGTTTCTGATAAAGGGAAGCTTTGTGCCAGAACATCTCTGATGATTTTTTGGTTGCTGGTTTGTTTACTTTGGAGATTCAAAAGCACCAGCCATGCGGTTCCTTTCTGTACCTGAAAATTACTTTCTTGAGTTTTAAGATTCTTTGCATTACAATGCACAGCAATTCCAATGCAGAGCCTAAAGAAAAAATCACATTCAGTGTGATTAGGAGATATATTAAAGCAAAAAGGACTGGTATTCTGGCAAGTTCTGAATCTCTGTCAAGTGTGCATAATTTTGGTAGGTATTACAGTGCCCATTTCTGTTATGAATGAAGAGAGGCTTGCCCTTTTTTTTCCTCTATTAACCTGTGGAGCTGTCCACAGGAACCCAGGAACTTTGTTTTTAAGGCTGTTCATGATGCCAAGTTCTTTAGACTACTGCAGAGGGACTCTGCTTGTTGTGTGCCACCTTCAATACCATTTTAATGTGATTTAAAATGTTCTAATGCCTCTGACAGAATCTGACTCTCAGGCAAATTTAGTGCATTTAGCCACAAGTTCCAGCGAATTCAGAAAGATAACCAATTTTCTCAAGGACCATGATTCTGTAAATTGAAATGCAAAGTAGATAGTTAAAGGTAAAATAACATTTAAACTTAAGGGAGTTGCTCTCTGCCTCCAATTCAGTAAAAAAACTTCATCTCACAAATAGAGTGCAAGCTAAGATGATTCCTGTGAACTTTTCTTTCCAGGGGTTGCATGGCAAACCAGGCCCCAGAGGACAGCGAGGACCAACAGTAAGTTCCTTTGATTTCCAATTTAGAAGTTTCCCTGCATAAATTGCATCCACTATACTGTGACAAATTACTTTTATTAGATTATAATATCCAGTATTTATCACCAAGTGCATCTGTGTTAAATTGACAGGGTCCAAGAGGCTCAAGAGGTCCCAGAGGTCCCACTGGTAAACCAGGTCCAAAGGTAATTGTCAAGCACACTGTATAGATTGGCTACAGGCTGTTTCTTTTAAATAAATGTAAATCCTTGAACGTACTCTCTTTCCCTTCCAGGGCACTTCAGGCAATGATGGTCCTCCTGGCCCACCAGGCGAAAGGGTTTGTGAAAGCCATCTTTGTACATGTTTTTCCCACTATATACAAGTGTGATTTGATTTATTTTCAGTTCTCCCTCCTATATCTCTGTGCTACTTTGACCAGGATAACCAGAACTAACAAAACCTCAGTTCCAGTGATGCTTTTCACAAAGTTATGAATGAGGTGGCTGAAGTTTGCTGAAAGCTTCTTCCAGCTGTATCTCAGTTTTGTACCCACAGGACACAGAGAGTACATACACACTTCTTGTTACATCCATGCACTTTGTACATGTTCCTGTGAATTACAGGTGTACTCACAGCTTAGACTCCTCAGAACTCCTCACCTACTGCAGCTTACTGCCTATTCATTGGATTACCAAACACTCAAGCCACATCCAGAAGATCCTTTTTTGAAACAGCTGAGTTTTTGTTCAGATCAGCTAAGAATTCCCTTCAACCTATTTTCTGCATGTTTCAGAAATCCTATTGTTCTCTCTAAAACAAAACTTTCTGCTTGCTATTATCTTACCAATCAATACACAAATCCACTACACAGCTCATTGTACAGCACTGTAAATAAAAAGAGTATTAATAAATCGGTTTTGTAATGGCAGCACTTGAAAACCAAATCAGTTTAAATGGATGAGCTTTCTGCCAAAGCATTTTTGCAAAGCTTAAACTTTTCTTTTGTAGTCATATTTCATTAAACTGCTAACCTTTTTCATCTAGAAAGCCTAAAGCTCTTCTCTCAGTATCCACAGCAAGGTCCCAATGTTCTGTAGGAGTATTATTCTTCAGGAGGGAGCTCCTTGTGCATTTTCCTCTGCTCCATAATATCACCTTTTTTGGCATTAGCTAGGATGTGGGATGGAGAGAACGAGGCATAGACCAAGAGAGGCTATGTATGTTGCTTTACACTGAGGAGGATCAGAGGCAGCCTACCAGAAGGGGAATAGCAGATCCTTGTGGAAAAGCAGTTTTCTGACAGCTCCAAGAGTTTGCAAGGGAGAGAAGTTGTGGGGATACTAAAACAATGAGCAGATCAATCCAAGATGAAGGCATCCCTGGAGAGAAACTGATAAAAGCAAAGAGATGAAGAATCATAAAGCACCATGTTTCTCATCACTTGTGTAATATAAGAGTGAGGTATCTATTTGCTTCCCAAGAGGGATGTCAACCAAAAAATAAAACTGTCATCTCTACTCCTCTGAGACTATTTCAGCTACCAAACATGAAAATAATAAATAATCTATCCTGTGTAGCTACTGTTAAAATGAAATTTAATAACAAGAATGAAAATGTAATTTTGATAGCACACTCTTAGTATTCTAGTGCTTTTTCTCACATAATCCGTCAGTCCACTGACTTGAAACCTGCAAGCCATATTGTGAATGAAAAGAAAAATGTAAAGTTTTTTCCTTAAAAAGCCTCAAAGCTTGAGAACAGGGGAAATTGTTGAGAAAGAAGGTGCCTCTAATGTAAAACTTCAAGTTGTGTTCCTGAAACCCAGTTTCTGAGACTGTCCCATTTCATTCAGGTATTTTGTAGCTCAGTCAATTTTACTAGTTTTCCTCTATAAGGCTCCACTTTTCTTATACCCAGAAACAAATGAGGAAAGTTAATTTGCTCACAGACATGGCATATTGAAAAATGACCCAAACCCTCCTATGGAGCCTATTTGTATGTTATGAAGGGTTCAGAAACAGACTTACACATCTTTTTGGAAAAAAAAAATTACAGATGGGCAGTAAGATCACAAAGATTTCTCCCTTTGCCTAGCACTTCTTAATTGATTCAGATTTAGCATTTCAGTATAATAGAAGTCTGCCCTGGAATAAGATTCATTTAAGATCAAATTCTCCCAGGCTGGGCACAGGGGATCCTCTCCCCAGCTACATTTGTGCACTGCTTTGCCCACTACAGAAGGCAGCTGTGCTCTGCAAGCCTGGCCTCTAAGGAATGTGGCCTATGGAACTCCCAGGAGCAAAAGGGTAGAATAATTTGGGAGATGTAGTCTCCTGCTTTTGCATCAAACCAACATTTCTAACATATTTGGACCCCTGATGTCATAGCAAACCCACACATCATACACCAAATAGAACAGGATAAAGTCTTGCACATATGGCATGGGTACATAACTCAGCTGTGGAACCATGTAAAAGCAATAAGACTCTTAAGATTTCACTTAGTGCACTAAAAACTAAATAGCAAAAAGGATTTTCATAAGTTGGCATAGTACCTTTCAGCATGGTAACAGTAAATTTTAAAAGCTGGCCTCTGGGGTTTTTTTCATAACAACTTCAGAAAGAGTCATATAAGTTAGTACTCAGTGTAAATATCTATGATATAGGTATTTACATGTGAACATACATGCATATGCACATGCTCACAATGCACTAAGTCAGTTGATCATCTTTAGCTAAATTTGTAAAACCATGCTGCATGAAAATTTTCTCTCTCCATATATCTGTATATATGCAAAACTATAAAAATATAATGGGATTTTAAAACTATTTTTCATAATAGTAAACATGCTGTATTTAATCCCAGCTAACTCTGAAAAGTTTATTCTTTATGGAATTTTGTGCTGTTGTACTGGTTGGAAATATTATCAGGGTTTAGGAATTGCCAGAGATGAATGTTTTACTGAAAAAGATGACCAAAGTATTAACTAAGTCCCCTGGTTTATGCAATATGTAAGAACAGTGCTTCTAACTCACAGTTGGTTCCTACTTTATTATGCACAGTTTTAGGCAAACATAGTTGAGGTAAGTAGTCTTCCTCATATTTTTACTGGATTCCTACACAAGCACTATTGTTTTCAGGAAATCCCTCCGGTGTCTGTGCATGTGAATTGTGACTAACAATATTTATGACAGTGTGGCTGAGGTTTTATGCTTAAATCCAGACATTACCTGCAGTGTTCCTATATTCTATAATTGAAACAAACTTTTCAATACAGCTTGAGTAGAACTTCACTTGTTTGTTTGCCTTTCATCCAGGGACCACAAGGGCCTCAGGGACCTGTTGGATTCCCTGGACCAAAGGGACCTCCAGTAAGTATCTCTTTTATTAAGTTTGTGCAACAGGAATTGTAGTTTTTGTAGAGTGCCTCTGAAGTAAATAGTTGAAAAATTATGTAAGAGATGGTTAATGTATAGATTAAAAATGTTATTGTTGAGCCTTAAGAGTTTGGGCTCACATATTTAACACAGTCATTGGTGCAGCTCAAGACATTGAGAGTAATCACCAAACTGCAAGTCTGGTATGTCCTGCCAGAGACCATGTGACACACTGAGTTAGGCAAAATGCTGCTTTGCTGTGACGAACATCCCGCGTGTGGAGACGCGAGCCTTGACTCCATGTTTCAGAAAGCTGGTTTATTATATTATGATATATATTATATTAAAATATTACATTAAAACTATACTAAAAGAATAGAGAGAAAAAATTCATCAGAAAGCCAGAAAGAACAAGAATAGAATGCATAACAAAATCTTGTGACTGCTCACAGCCTTGGTACAGGTGGCTGCGATTGGTCATCAGGTGAAAACAATCCACATGGACCAATGAAAGATGCACCTGTTGCATTCCACAGCAGCAGACAGTTATTGTTTACATTTCTCTCCTGAGGCACCTCAGCTTCCCAGGAGTGGAAAAATCCTAGCAAAGGATTTTTTATAAAATGTCATGGCTACACTTTGCTACTGTATATTTTCTTAGAATGATTGATTCACTCAGGAAAAATGAAGAGGAAGGAGGTATTCATTAGTAGCAGGAACATATAGAAGTAATAGCACATTTGAGCTGCCCCCTGAACCAGTCTTGGTGTTTTTCAGGTGTCCCTCTGCTCAGGTACATGTTGCTCGTGAAAGCAACAAAGCACCTGTGATTTTTTTCTCCCATGCATTTGTTACTTTTATTTCCAATTCCAAAACCTGAAATGTCATCATGTACTTCTGAAATCCTTAGATTTCTGTTTAGTCATTAACCAAAGAAAAATGGAGGTATAGGGAATTTCCATGATTTCTGAATTTGCAGAAATCTATTTTGAACACGTTTGCATGTGGCAACAGTCATTTTCCAAGCAATTGTTAAGACACTATAGGAAGGACACAAGGAAAATGTTATTATTAATGTCCTAGTTAGCTAACAAAGAAGCAGTTAAAAGTTACCAAAGACTAGTGTAGAAATGAACAGAGAGCAGAGATTCTGATAGCTAATCGCACACTCTTTTTGAGAATGGCTAAGAAATTGCTTGATTTATTTATTTTATCATTTCAGGGTCCACCTGGAAAAGATGGCTTGCCTGGGCACCCAGGACAGCGGGGTGAGACTGTAAGTAAATGTACCCTGCTGTGTTAGTGTTGTTCTAAAGGTCATGGTTATGTGATCAAATCCAAAGAAATAGAGACAACAGGGAAAAGGGAAAGAGGCTGGCACCAGGAGGTTACATAACTGTACTTTTCTTGTAGATGGGGCATGAGAAAGCTTTATTTCGCTCCCATGATACAAGTGTGAGGTTATTCTTTGCTATGTCTAGTTAGCAATATCAGAAGGAGTTTAAGTGTTTAATAGAAGTAAAAGAGATTAGTGCCCAGATCTCTATTTAAATTAAGATTTTCAGGCAATTACTATACAGTAGTTTTCTCCCTGAATGCCATGTAGCAAAAATAGTAGCATGAAAAGAAGTCTTATTGATGATAAACAGCAAGAAAACTGAAAAACCAAGACCTTTGGAAAGTAGGATCAGGGATGATTGAACCTATTAAAATAAAATTTTGAAACTATGTAACTCATCTAAGAATCATAATTAATAAATTCTGGCATCAAAATGAAAAAAGTACTATGTAATACTTTGAATTACGTTTAAAAAACACACTATTTCTGTGTGTCAGAATGTTACTCATATTCCATTATAAAATAAAAATTCTCACTTGGATTTTTCAGAGCCAGAGAAAGCCATAAATTTATTTATTGAGAATTTTTCCCAGCATGTAGAATGTGTTTTAGGCTCCAGCTTCACTGGAAATCTGTTAGTGACTGCTGAGTCACTTCCACGGCTGGAAGGAGGAGCACAGAGCTTGGAGTAACACATCCCTGTGAAAATCTCTGCTTTCTTCTGCTAGTATTCTAGCATTGTCACACTGTAATACTTTGCAATGATAGTGGCTTTTTTGTGTATGAAACATTATTGACTCCTTCTTTGTTCTTTTCCTTTGCAATGATGCAAAAACTGTTGTGTACCATAAGGATCAATTGTTGACATTGTTTACAATGCAGGAAGCTCAACCTTGTTCTTTAGTCTGCTGTTAGAAAGGTACAATTTTCCCTTTAGCTTTAGTGCTTTGAACATGAGCCATTAACGTGCCAGTACAGCAAGGAAAGCAGAGAGCATTCTGTGCTGCAGCAGGGGGATCTTTTCCTTCTGCCCAGCCCTGCTGAGGCCAGGAGCAGTGTCCAGCTTTGGGCTCCTCAGGACAAGAGAGCTCCTGGAGAGTGGCCAGGAAAGGGCCACTAGGATGATTAAGGGACTGTAGCATCTCTGCTGTGAGTAAAGGCTGATGGAGCCAGGACTGCTCAGCCTAGAGAAGGCTCAGGCCTTACCCAAGTACAGAAATACCTGAAGGGAGCTGCAAAGAAGATGGAGCCAGGCTCTTTTCCATGGTGCCCAGTGACAAGAGGCACTGGGAATAAACTGAAACACAGGAGGTTCTATCTGAGCATCAGGAAGTGTTTCTCCCTGTGAGGGTGACCAAGCACTGTCCCAGAGTCCCCAGAGAGGCTGCAGTCTCCATCTGAGGTATCCAAAAGCCATGTGGACGTATTCCTGAGCACCGAGTTCTCAGCAGCCCTGCTTCAGCAGAGCAGTTGGACAAAATATGACTCCAGAGGTCCCTTCCAACCTCAGCTATTCTGATTAAGTGATGCAACTTGTAGCAAAATATTCAAAATACAATGAAGCTATGGACACTGCTACTGTGTGAAACTTGAACCAGGTCCCTCAGATTCATTCAGTGCTATGGTTCTCTAATTTTGTATCACTTTGGGTTTAGTATGGTTATACTAATAAAATTCTTAAGTAGCCTAGAAGCAAATGCAGCTTTTTGTTAGAATTGTTTTCTGTCCTGTGTGTTTGTAAACTTGGGCCAAAACTATGTCTAAAATATTTTTCCCCATGGGTTCTTAAATATGTGTTTTTGTAGAAAACCAGATGGTTTTAAACCAATCAGCAGGCTTGTTGACTTGCTTTTCCTGAAGAATATACTCCAGACTTTTGAAAAATTTATAAATAGAAAACTTTTATTGTACTCATCTTTTCATTCACTGGCAGATAAGATTATTAAGAATTCTGTTTCTTATTTAAACACATATCTTATTATAAAGTTCATTGGTGCATATGGGCATTTCAGCAATGAGGGAATTAGGATAAGAGACATAGTCAAGCTTAGCAAATTAGAGAGCCAGATTCCCAGGTTGCACTCTGCAGTTTGTTTATGGAATAATAAGCACATGTTGACAGCAACTGAGGTAACTATTGGTGAGGAAGACGCTGCAACTTTTTCCCCCAGTAAGACATATACACTTTGAAGAACTGATGTTGTTTGTTGAAATTGTAGACATAGGAACAGTAATATCATGATAAATAATTTGGAATAAAAATGTAGGAATAAGCTTTATACTGGAAACCAATATTATGCCAATTTGTCCTTAGAAGTGATTATAAATTTCAGTGATGTTAATCTCAGTTAGGCAGGAGGCATCAACAGTGAAAATTACTAGATTGTCTGCTGTTATGGAAGAATTTAGTGTTTCATGCTTGTGAAAAGACAAAATAGAAATATACTACCTGTAGCATCTGTTGGAATTCATTGAGGGACTTCTTATTACAATAAATCTTTTCATTAATTTGTCTTTCACAGAAAATAACAACAACAAAAAAAAATTAGAGGCTACTTAGGCACTTCAAAACACACATGAGACATTAGTGTAATTTTTTTATTGCTAAATATTTTAGATGAAGCCATGGAAGTTTCAGGTCTTCTTGAGTAGTTGCTGAAATCTCCTTTGCTTTTTACATTTTTTAAAAATCTGGATCTGTAGGAATAGATAAGCTTGTAACAGAAGAGAAAAATCAGTGTAGTGAACCCATCATTAGCATCAAGAAACAAAGTACCAATACATTCTGCCAAATTGGGACTAGCAGGTCTTCTCAAGGTGCTTTCAGTAAGTGAGTGATGTTCAACTTTCTTTGTCTTTCCTGATAACAGCCTTACAGATAAAGCTTTGATTATATAAAGGAAGGGACATGGGAATGATTTCATCTGGAGCAGTTCTGGTTTTCTGTCATTAGAACAAAGGGGTACTTATGTCTTCTTTTTTTTTTTTTTTTTTTTTTTTTTTTTAAATCCAGATCATTTCAGTGGTCTGAGGGAGTGCCTGATTTATGGGCCAACCTGAACCCTGGTAACATCTGGCTGGCAGATGGAACAGAATCAGACTGAGACAGAAAAGCTCAAACAGGAGCTCATGGAATAGGGCAGCTATCAGTCAGACTGCCCAGAGGAAAGCTGAGTAGGGCCCAATATTTGAAAAAATTGGGGCCAGGTGACCCCTTTGTTTTTACACAGGTGAGCAGAGCAGGAGGCAGACACAGGCTGTTTGGCAGGCAATATTGTGTAGGACCCTCATGTCACCCAGCAGGAATGCACTGTCTAACACTCTTCCAATATTTGAAAGAAATAATTTAGCATAATTCAAAGATGCATTAAACAGTGCCATTAAAAAGTGACATTCTCATTCAGATTATTGACTAATTTTGGCCTGAAATTCTGGGCTGCTGATTAGAAAATGAAAATTACGTAAAATTTCCATGCTCTAAAAAATTGTCTCAAAAATATTTATATTCTATTCTGGTTTTGACATAACATTGATTTCTCACTGGCATTCACATTGTCTTTTTTACCATTTCTATGTAACCTTCACCTTTCTTTTCATTTTCTTTTTGTCTCACCTCCATTTTAATGCCCTTCCAACTTAATAGTCCATCTGTGTCTTTCTTTAAAAAGCATTTTTATGTCAGGCTTTATGATTCATAATATACATATGTAAAAATGTATTTTCAGCTGTCTTTTAGCTGCATCACTTATGCATTCAAACTCATCTAATCAAGTTCTCCTAGAGAGATTTGTAAAACTGGTGGCAATTTTTACTGCTGTACCACCTCAGAGAGATGGGAACTGAGAGATGGAAGAGAGATTAATCAGCATTTCATATCTAGGCATACACAGACAAAAAAAGATTTCTCTTTTTAATTTTCCAAAGAGAAGGAATGTGTGACATGGAATTTCTCATTCACCTCTTCAGCACAGATATGAATTTTGCTCTTTTATAACTTGTAAAGGGTAATGTAATATTCTGTCATTTTTTTCACAGGGTTTTCAAGGAAAAACTGGTCCTCCTGGTCCTGGTGGTGTTGTTGGCCCTCAGGTACATAATTTAATTTCATAGCTGACTTCATGAGACTGTTTAATGGTTATATTATGGATAAGGCAGTCGCTCTTGCTGTGTTAAAAGGACCATATCCATTGTTATATTAACTTTTGCAACAGAAGTTGCATAACAATATCAGAAGCTATACTTAGTAATCATCAGTGATTCCACCAAAAAAAAAGAAAATATTTGGGTTACGTTTCCATTTTGTTTTATGTTTTGATTTGGGCTTTTTGTAGGTTTGTTTTTGTTTCAGGGGTTTTTTATGTGATTATGAAATCGGTGGTTTACAGAAGTCAAAGATGCACATTTCTCTACCACTTTACAAAGAACAATGCTACATGTGAATTTCTTGCCAGAGAAAAAAATTCAGTAACTTTTAGATTGTGGAGAGATAAATTATCAAAATTTCATTTGATTTAACCTTATTAATTTACAACTTAATCAATCATTTAGAGCTTATTTAGCTATTTCCCTCAGTGGAACTTTTCTGCTAGGGAATCTGAAGAGAGATCTTTCAACTCTCCTGCCTTACAATTCCTGTTATTCGGAAAAGCACCAGTACAGAACTGTTTCAAGACAAGAATAGCACATGGATTTCTCTCCTGTGTCCTTTTTATAACCTTCTCCCATACATGCTGTGCTTTAAAGCTTCAGTGCTTAAGGAACAAGGTCAGGATTTCACTCTTTGGAAGCTGCACAGACGTGTCTGCAGGCAAAATGCAATGCAAGATTTATTTTATAGGACAAAGATATTTTGTATGTCAGCCTTGCCTGGAGGGAAGGTGAGGAATGTGCCCTAACCAATGGCAGCACTGTTTGGTAACATAACAGCTGGATATTGAGAATCTGCTCCTCTCCACTTCCTCCCACACCCTCAAGACATTAAATAACTTCAGGTGACTGAAGTTGTACTTTTGTGCCTAGGGTCCTACTGGTGAGACTGGACCAATTGGTGAAAGAGGCCATCCAGGTCCTCCTGGTCCCCCAGGTGAACAAGGGCTCCCAGGTGCTGCAGGAAAAGAAGGTGCTAAGGTATGATGTGGCTTTGGGGAACAAACAGGAAGGGACAGATAGACTGCTGACAGTGTGACATTTCAAATCATCATAAAGACATGCAGATTAAAATCAGAACATACAGCATAAAATCATGATTGGCAGGTTGCACCCAGAAGGACTTGGAAGACTGGAAGATTCCAATTTTAGACATGAGTCTGCTTCCACTGAAATAATGAGAATTCTCTTGAGCCAAAAATTAATATTTTTGTAATAAAAGCGAAAGAAAAATTGTTTGCATGTAATATGCATTTAATATACTAATCATATTCAATATGTCATACTTAGTAATGTCATTTTCACACCAAGGTAGAAGATTGTACATTGGTATTTAAAGTCAGATGTGTAGTAGTGAATAAAAGGTAGAATTTCACTGAATAAATTTAAGTCCTTGCTTAATTTTTGGCTGCCATTGGGGAACAAGAAAAATATTACTTATCTAGTTACTTTGTAATTCTATTCAATTTTTTATTAAAATTTGGTATCAAAAATTTTTACTGAATATATTTTTAAACATATTTTTACAGCTTGTTGTGTTTTTCACTATTTGTATTCCATAACTGGTACTGTATTTTGTCAAAGTTCATTATAAATTTAACCACAGAATATTGTACTGATAAAAGAATTAGTGGGTGAATAGCTGGGAGCACAATTTTTGTTTTCATTACTATAACTAGGATCTGGTAGTTAATTTTCATCGCTCAATGTACACCTAATTTTTAAACATGTTTTTTAATCAAAATGTAATATGTTTCCCAGGGTGATCCAGGCCCTCAAGGCATTCCTGGGAAAGATGGACCAGCAGGTCTTCGTGGTTTCCCTGGAGAGAGAGGCCTTCCAGGTGCTCAGGTATGATATAAGCACTAGAGCAATTGCCATGATATTTCTAAATAAAATAAACAATGTATTAACTCCTTTATTTATTAAGCCTTCTACTGTGCTTAAATTAAATACAGTAAGAGAACAGACAAAAATATAATTGGCTAAATAAGAAGTAAGGAAATTATTCAAGTTTCTTTCTTTGTATATTTACATTTTTCCTATTATATGTCTTGCAAAATTACTCTTGAACTTTCCAGTTTAGTAGACAGGCTTTTTTTTTCCTTTCCATTTTTTAGGGTCCAGCTGGTCTGAAAGGAGGAGAAGGCCCACAGGGTCCACCTGGCCCAATGGTAAGTAAACATAATAATTCTATGAAAATACACACAATATTACCTAATAACCTTTTTTCTTCTTTAGATGCTGGGATGTTTTCATTACACAGTCTGTAAAACAGCAGACAGATCAGACTTGTACTAAGTATCCATACTAATAAACATGCATGGATTATGGTGGTAGAGAATATCTGAAGCCTTCTGCTACTACATTTAGTTACAACATTTACTTGCTGCTCAATACTTGTCACTTATGTCAAACTGGTTTTGAGATGAGAGGGGTTCTCCACAGTGGAAAATTCCATGGATAGTGACTCATGCTGTTGTGGAGGGCTTGCCTTAGCTGGATGCCAGGTGCCCACCAAACTGCACTATCCCTGCCCTCCTCAGCTGGACAGGAGAGCACAAGATACACTGAAAGGCTTGTGAGTCAAGATACGGACAGGAAGATCAGCCACCAGTTACATCATGGGCAAAACAGACTGGGAAAATGAGTTTATTTTCTATCAAATCAGAGTAGGATGGATAAGGAGAATCAAAACCAAAGTCTGAAAACACCTTCTCCCCACCCTCCCTTCTTCCCAGGCTGAGCTTCGCTCCTGATTTTTGTTTTATCCTGCCCCTAAGCAGAGCAGGAGGATGGGGAATGGCCCTCAGTTTGTCACACTTCTTCCACCACATCCTTCCTCCACATGGGGAGGACTCCTCACACTCTTGCCCTGCTCCACTGTGGGGTCCCTTGGCTGTGAGGCAGTCCTCCATGGACTTGTCCAACGTGAGCCCTTCCCAGGGCTACAGTCCCTCATGAACTGCTCCAGCCCAGGTCCCCCACAGGGTGCAGTCCTTTTGGGAGCTGGCTGCTCCAGTGTTGGTCCCCCAAGGGGTCACAAGTCCTGCCAGCAAACCTGCTCCAGTGTGGGCTCCTCCCTCCACAGGGCCACAGGTCCTGCCCACATCCTGAGCCATTGCAGGCTCTCCATGGGGCACAGTCTCCTCTGGGATCCACCTGCTCCAATGTGGGATGCTCCATGGGCTGTGGGAGGATCTCTGCTCCCCTTCTGCTGTGCATTGTTCCCCCACTTCTTAAATATATTATCCAAGATGTTCTACCCCTGTCACTAATGGGCTCAGCCATGGCCAGCCCATCGGTCCCGCTTGGAGCTGGTGGTGTGAGCTCCACTGGACATGGGGAAAGTGGCATCTTCTCTCAGAAGCCAGCCCTGTAGTCCCCTGCTAGCAAACCCTTGCCATGCAAACCCAGTATTCCTATGTTCCCTTTGTACAACTGTGTAAAATCATGTCAGAATTTTTCTTCTCGGCATTTTAAGCTCAATAGTAGAGTATGCTTCAAGTTACCTATTCTCTGTTGTCATGCTTTATGCAAAGAAGTTCTACAAGGATGCACTGGCATTCAAAACATGCTAGAGTTATTCCCAAATGTGAATTGTGTAGATTTGTGACAGTCATCTTGTCAACTTATTTCTTTCATACAGTGCAATTGAGGTTAAAAAAGAAAAGAATCAATCATCACAGCTATTCATGTTAGGAAAAAAAAAAAGTAATGGAGGAGCTGAATTTCTGTGTGCTCCAACAAAGCTCTCTTTTGTCCTCGCAATTCATATTCAGATTAGAATGCATTAAATGAAGATAAAAATCCACACATAGTACAGTACAAGTAATACATAGGACTTGAATTCTTAAAATGAATTATTGAATTCTCAATGCCAAAAACTTGGATTTACAGTTCTTAACACAGTGCAGTATATATATGTTTCCAAAAGGCACCAAAACAAAGAATGGAGTGGAATGGAATGGAATGGAATGGAATGGAATGGAATGGAATGGAATGGAACGGAATGGAATGGAATCTAGCAGGGAGAGTCAAAAGGGATATCATCTTACCCATCTGAAGAACCTGAAATGTTAAAAGAAAGGATTAGTCAAAGTCAAGAAAGCATAGACCAGAACAGTCTCTTCAATCTAAAGGTCCTGTCTTGATTTTTTGTTGAAGGAGCCCCTAAGGCTCTGACCTCTCAAGCAGATGGTTCAGGTGCAGTGACCCAGAGCCCTTCTGAGCATACACAGCAGCCAGCAAAGCTGATGTGTGACACAGCCCCCTTTGCCAGCCAGCATTGTCCACACTGGAGCTGTGCCACTCCTGCCATGGTCCTCAGAAAGACATATCACACAAGGTGGGAGGAAAAAGTACACACCTTATTTAGTGATAGTTGTCTGTATTCTGAAATACATATGTTTGAATTGAAATTCAGATGATCCATGTTTTTCTAATTCTTATAGAATGTGTATAAGTTAGTGTTTTAGTTGAAAACATCAGAGCTTTTTTGAGGAGGATGTCTCAATTATCCCCATTTACCATCCTTTGGTTCAAATCATGGAGCTCTCTCAGAGCTCATGAATAGTATTCCTTTCATGTGAAACTAAATTGGTAGAGAAAATCCAGGAACACTATTAATGCTCCCCAGCTAATGGGAGTTCAGTGCCAGACTGAAATCATCATTAATTATAGTCCAGGAACACACAGAGTATGGGTATTGGGAGCACCAAGGACTTCAGTTCACTAACCTGTTCCTGTTGGGGACGCCATTCCTGCTGAGGTAAATAGTCATAGAAAGAAACCCTTAGGAGGCTGAGGATTTTTTGCATATAGTTTTTGCAGTCTTTAAGAAATAGATGTAGTGAGTTGAAAGAGAGTTTGAAGAGCAAAATTTTTAATTTTTTTAAATTTATTTTGAGCTTATTGTAGTGTAAGCAGGCCACTTCAGGTATAAAGAGGACCAAGTTGCCCTTAAAGTATTCCAAGAGTCCTCAGTAGGATTTTCATCTGTTTCATCTTTAATTACTAACTTGTTATCTCAAAACAGTATTCAGTGAAATACAAGTGTGTAGTGTCCTTAATACTGAGTTTCAGTGTACCATCAAGCTCCAGAATTAAGCCACAACGGCTTGCTTTTCTTCACAGAAGCTCACAGCAGACCATGAGCATCAAATACTCTGAAAATATTTTCCCATCTATTTTTAGCCAACAGCGGATACACACAGAAGTGTAATTGTAGCAGTCTTCATTTGCCATCTATAATAGGAAGAGAATCCATGCCACTGGCTGACTTTCCTGTGATTTCCTGCCAATACCAATTGTTTCTTACTAGCATATATAGTCAATTATAAGCTTTGTTTGGCTGCTGCATACATCTGCAAGCATACCAAACAAATGACTGCTCCAAATACTGTGCATATGCCAATTACTCTGTTTAGAGGGATTTGGACAAAAGAAAGGATGCATGAATGCACGTCAGAGCAAGAGGGGGTTCTGCAGGATTGAGGGGGGTATTTTCATGGTTTGGGGCTTTTTTTGGGAGGGCGTTGTGATTGGTTTTTTGTTATGTGGGGGGCTGAGTTTTTTTAACAATTCTGTTTTATCTGCTCTCTTTGTTGCTTCTGTTTGTTTTCTTCCCTTCTCCTACTACCGTGTGGAATGCTGAATGCTGATGAGAGAAAGCTCTTTGGAATGTCAAGCAGTCATTTTTCATTTGCTCATTTAGGAATAGGATGCTCAAATTAGACTCAGAATAAGCCAGCTGTAGGCTACCCAATTATCAGTACTGAACTATCTAGAGCTATCTTCATCTATCTGACAACATTTTACAGTCATGGGGACCTTCACTTGTTGAGCATTTTGTTAGCCATCAGTAAAAAGTATTGCTACTACCATGCAATGTATACAATAGCTGTCATTACATATCTCCTCACAGGAAGTGAGAGAAAACCAAGGTTGCTAATGAGTTTACAGTCTGTATAGCAGCAATACAAGACAAAACATGAGCTTCCATTCTGTAGAAGAGTTTAAAAAACCCCAACAAAGCAAATTAATAAAAAGATTCCATGATGTGAGTACTGCAAGACCAAAGGTTAACAAGTGGTTTCATAACATAGGGAGCTTGTTTTGTAGTGGGACAGAGTGACCAGAAAAAAATGAAACACAGAAAGAGAGAACAGACTTAAGAAACTGCTTAAAATGCTTTTCTGAGTTGGGACTATAATTTAGTATCTTCTGCTGTGCTCAGAGGCCATTCTCACAGAGAAAGAAGTGGTTCCTTGAAAACAGAATGTGTAGTCCATCTTCATAACTCATGTGAAATGCAAAGATGAATGTGAAAACCTGGCTGATTAAAAAGAGCTACTGGAAATTATGGCCACTGTTAGTGTCTGCTGTCTGACACAGGAAAGATCTATGAGTTATTTGGGTTTTTTCCTCTCTATTCTTACATCCTCCTGATGAGATGACCTAAAATTGTTCAGCTTATGAGAGCTGACAAGATCAGAGACCACGGTAGTATGACTGTAGGGTAGTGACTTTTTCTTGTTGAATTCACTGAAGCCTTAGGAACTAAAATAACAGAAATAGGACAGAAACTTAGGCAGCCACCCAGACTTAAAAAAACCCCCAACACCTGGAAGGATCAAGTCATCTATGATTTTCATACAATACTTTGAACACTCATGCAAATTTAGTTCTTACTGAAATAACTTGCTAAAATACTTTAAGAAACCATTCAGCACTCTTTTCTGTCACATTTATGTGGAGGGAAAAGCACCTCATTACGAAATTAGTACCATTTATGCTAATGAGGTCAGTCCGGGACAAGTATGTCATGAATAAAGCAAAAAAAAATAATAGGGTCCTCATAGCTGAAAGCATCATAAAATTCCAATATCTACAAGACAGCAAATTTGATGTTGCTTAAACATGAAAAAATATGCTATTTAGAGTCTCAGGGTTTTACTTTTATTATATTTAGTATTTTTATTTTTATTTTCTATTACTTTTCTGTTCTGTGATGCATCATCCTGCTATCAGTTGAAGAAGTGAAATTACTAATCATAACTTTGAAGTGTTGCAAACTATCTTGAAGGTGCAAAGCTGAAAATCTGGGAAATATTTTTGTACAGCAAACAAACATTTAACAGTACTCTCTTAATGCAAAAATTGTAAATTATTTAAAAGACAGAAACAAAGATGCAGTTTTAGTGGTTTTCAATACATAGTGTCTGTTGTTTCACCCTTGATTTTTAATATTACATTTTTAACTTTTTCCATGCTTATCTAAAGACGCCTGTACATAAAAAACCTCCTCTGTAGAGCACACTAGTCACTATACTTGAATGGATTTTTACAGCGGTGCACTGAAATGCAGAAATGTGATCATCACAGCAATGAACAGCACAAAACTTTACTAAAAATTTTGGTTTTGGTGTGGCTTTGTTCTGTATTTCGATATGGTGAATATGCTTTCATCAAAGCAGTATGTTAATATATTTTGAAAACATAGAGGGAAGTAAGTTCTTGAAAAGAGGTGGTTTTAAAGACACTCTCATTATGATGAACAAATACAGGAAGTGGTATTTACAAAAAAAAAAAAATTAGTGTTGTATGAACTGTATTGAGTACGAACTTCAGGTTGGCCCTTCCAGCCTTTTTTCTTTACTTGCGCGCATGATGGATGCATAACCTTCAACCAGCTGAACTCGCACTGCTGAGCAGCTTGTCTGATGACTTGCCTCATGAAAACTGCCAGCATTCCCAGGGCTCTCAGAATTCCTTTATCCTTTTATTCCTTTATCCTCTGTCTTTTCCAGGGCTCGCCGGGAGAGCGCGGAGCTGCGGGCACCGCTGGCCCCATTGGGCTGCCGGGCCGGCCCGGCCCCCAGGGACCCCCAGGCCCTGCCGGAGAGAAGGGTGCTCCTGTGAGTAACCACAGTCCCATGAAACCATCCCCGCACACACTTGTCATTCCAGAATGCTACTTGCTCCCACTCTGTTCAATATGTATTCTCAGAATACCCAAACTACTCATTTTAGATTTACAAATATGTACATAGTAAAACATTTCTCACGGTGCTCTCTAAGACCAGGAAGGGTTTAACCTGTTATTATCACAGCAGGGAGTGGATCAGTCTTTCAATAAAACTTTGTACCCAGCCACTCTGCATTAGAGTACAAGTATATTTGTCATCAGCTTCCATTATTATTTCATATAATTCTCTTATATATCGTCTTCCATGACAGTTTTCTTTCTGTTGTGGTGTTTTCTGCTTTGTTGGGTTTTTTTTTTGGAGGGGGGTGTGTGTTTTAATTTTGTATTGGTATTGGGACTCCCTGTACTGAAGTATTCATTCTCTCCTGTGATAATGTGGATCACTTCATTTTCTTCAAAACCAGGGTGAAAAAGGTCCCCAAGGTCCAGCTGGACGTGATGGAATACAGGGTCCTGTAGGACTTCCTGGTCCTGCTGGTCCTAGTGGTTCTCCTGGAGAAGATGGTGACAAGGTGAATCATTATAATTTTTATTAGTGCATCTGGGAGATCTGTCAGTACAGTTCTCTGTAGCTTTCCTCACAATAAATAGGGTGACAAGACAATAAATCTTATCCCTGCCTCCCCCAAATTCCCTCTGTCTGCTGCAAAAAATCCCTAAAAACCTATTCTATAACCAAATGTCTGAGGGACAAATGCCATGGGACCCTGTGATTTTTGTTAAAGAGCTAGTAGAATAACATTTATCCTGGCAAAGAAACAAGGATGAAAGTGTGGCAAAATAAGGCAAAATATGACAAAATTGATTTTTGCCTATTTTAGAAACTTGGTTTTCTGAATTAATAAAATGAAATGTCTTCAATAATATACAGGGATTCAGAACCACCAGAGGTTGTGCTGGTAGATTGAGGGTGTCAAAATAATTATGTTCACAGCAGAGATAGTCTGTTGACCTCTGGCAGAATTTAAAATATGACACCTTTCAGGATCATCTGGTATGGTTGCTTGACCCAGCACTCTTCTGTGAGTTAGCATGGGGTAAAGGTAAAGATTTCAACATTCATGTTTGTGATTCATGAGTGTTATTTATCCCACAGAGAGTATTTTCTGTGATTTAATTTAATTGTATTTCATTATTGTATAAAGAAAACATTCTTTTCTAATGTGGTTTCTTGGTGATTTGAATAATTGTGAAGTTTTGAAATACTGTACACAAGCAGTAGTTCAGTCATAAACAGTTACATGAGTCTGTAAATCAGGGTACTTTCATTATAAGTTCATATTGAAGGTGACATGAGCAACACAATTTCCTTTATTTAGAGCTCAGTTGCATTATACTTCAAAGCCAGGTCTCACTGCCCTTTTCAATTCAGCAATCAATATCTGGATTAATATGACGTATTATTGATCACTGCAGAATTGCTCCCTTTAGGCTTTCACTTGAAGCAGAAGCTTAAAACATAGAATAATCATATCAAAGGGATCATTTAGAGATACTGTGATACTGACTTCAGCTAAGTGTGAAGGAGAACATTTTAAAGAAGTTTAACTTTTAACTTTCAATTACAGGGTGAAATTGGTGAACCAGGTCAGAAAGGTAGTAAAGGTGACAAAGGAGAAAACGTGAGTAGCAAAATCCTTTGTGCATTACATCTACTCTTTATAAATAAAAGGTATTCATGCATGAAGTATGCAGGTAGTTTTGCTACATAAATGAGCAGAAAAAAAGACACACTCCTAAAATTTTCCTTCAAAATAATGCTCTTTTAATGCAATACTAGAGGTTTGGACTTACAGATCCAGGTATGTATTTATTATTGTTCATATAACTAGAGCTTATAGAATCATTAAAAAATATAAACTACATTCTTAAGCACCTTTCCTGTATCACTGAAATTCCTCCATTCTGCATTGGAACTGGAGAGACCAAGAATTCCCATACATTCTCTTACTGTGTTGAACTTCACTGACTGCACTGTGTGAACATACCCAGCTTTGGCTTCTTAGCCATGAGGATGAAAACTATGGAGACTCAGCAGAGGAATCTGCTAATGTAGTTTTAAAATTTGTAAAGGATATCTAATTCCTGGGGAGCACAATAAACTGATGGCAGATGAAATGGCTTATACAAGTTTTCATATATTATCATTAAGCCTATTAGTGAACCTAGGACTAATCAGGTTTCTACTGTTTTGATTTGACATTTTTCTATCTTCAAAAATTAATTCTAAAGTTCAAGCACTTCTTTTTTGTTATTTAGACCAGACATATAAAATTAAGCTTTTTTTACTGTGAAATTTGAAGCTAGAAAGAATAAAACTAGCATTTATTTATTTCCATTTGATTGTGGTTTCTTTCGTAAAAATTCAAAATGGTATGTTTTCACTTCTGTTCATTTTCAAGATAAACTGGTACTTTACTTGAATACTTTTCCTTAAGAAAAAATTAAGAAGTAATGGCAGAAAGATCCCTTTTATTGTTATATTTCAACACTATTCAGTTAGCAAAGCTCCAAACTCAGCACAGGGGTATTTGTGGCTAAGTATATTTATCTTGAAAATAGTGTGATTTTTGAGATTAACAAGTCACAGAACAGTATATTACTTAAAAAAAATTACACCAAATTTATGGCTTACGTATTACCAGATGATGTTTATGGGAGGATATGTACATACTCAAGCAAATCACAGGTCATAGAATTACAGAATCACAGAATGACTTGGGCTGGAAATGAACTTTAGGATCAGCTAGTTCCAACCTCTGATCCAGTTCCACTTCAGGCTCTGCATGTGGTCACAGGCATATCCTGTTTTCCCCTTTGTCATGCCTCTTCATTAGAAATGCTTTGCATCAGAGAAATTCAGGGAAAAAACACAAGCTGCACTCTTCTGTTTCAGATAATTTTAGCATAGCTAGTTATGCTGAGCATTAGACTGTGACCACAGTTCCCATAGCGAGTACTGATGTATTTGGGCCTGTTCCAGCAAACCTGCTTTACAAATAAAATATCTGCAGCATTATCACTTGAGAATGTATCCTGGACTCCCAGTCTCAAGGTTTAATGCATTTGAGAATATTACACATTTTCTTGAAATACAGGATTCAGTGTTGAGGCCTTAGTTGAAGTGAATGGACGTCTGGTTGAAGTCACATTCTTGAATCTATTTGCCCTCAGCTGCGGTCATTCAACCCTGACAATTTCAGAATGTGTTTATTTTAAAATTGCTTTCCTTTCAACATGCTGACAGATGCCTGTTGGGACAGGGAGAAAGGGCTTGTTGGTCACCTCTGAAAGGTTCTGATGAGGAAGTACCCAGTTCTGAAATCACAGGACATACAGAACAGATATTTACAATGCCAAACCATCCACAAAAGGCCTTGGTGGGCATTTAGAGCCTGATCACAGCAAGGATCCTGATCAAAGAACTGATTCATCTTTCCTGTTTAAGAAGAGCTGGAAAAATCTTCAATTCCCCATTGAAACTAACAAAGATTTATTTTTGTGGGTTTGAGAATACAGTGCCTAACTATGTTAGCATATTCTAGTTAAGACAGCACAATTTTGTTGTTGTGCTGTCCTCTCTTGAACTTCAAAACCTCCACAGTTATCACAGCTGCCTTTATTAACTGAGGATTCTCTCATTATACTGATCAGTCTTTCTCCATTTGCCCTCCAGAGCAATGGCAAAAAAGAATCTGGCCATGTGTCCAAAAAACTCCTCATTAAACAATTGCAGAGTACGTTCCAACAGTGCTTTATATCAAAATGGGTTTTTAAATGAGTTTAAAAATGTGTAGGTCTCATTCCAGAGCCTATAAAATAGAGGAGCACATTGAAGCATCTCGAAGAGTGTAGAAAAATCCGTGCATGCCAAATCTCTTTCTCACGGTAACACTTCCCAGTCAGCTGGAGCATTCCTCAGAGTCCTTTCATTTAAATATGTCACCACAGAGGCTAGAAAATTTTAACTTATTGCCATCAGTTATGGGACAAAAAAAAAAAACTGTAAAAGAGAAGAAATACAGAGCTTGATGCTTCATACTCCCTAGAAAATAAAATGGTCCAAAATATATATAAAACCCAGAGAAAGAAATAGACTGCAAGACTAAAGAAGTCCCTTTCTTTAATTCCCCTTATAAAGGGCACAATCTAATTTTCACCCTAGAAAAGTCCATAAATCCCAGCATTATTCTCCTCTAAACCAGAATTTGAAGCCTAGAAGTTGCAGGCAACTTGGCATCTGAAATAGACTAGAATTAGCCAAGGCCAGGTGTTGAGTTTTGTGCCTTTTTAGCGCAACTCTTTCTCAGTCTACTTCCTCGAGCACTGCAAAAACAAGATGCAAACTACTCCATCATTTACACCTCATCATTAAGTAATATCTTGCATTCCTGTACTCTGATAGCTTCATTATATCACATCTGCATGACTGACTTCTAATTACGTGCAATATAATTTAGTTATTATTCTGCAGGAAGAATGAAAAAAGACATTCCTCTCAGAGACTGGGGTTTCTGGTCATTCTGTTGAAAAGAGACTAAATATCAAAGAGAATATGATTCCCAGCGCTCAGCAAGAACTTGCACTTTTTCATGTCTCTTAGAGGTCAACATAAATGTTGTGCCATTGCAAAACTAATTAGCAGTTTCAAAAATCTACTCCAAATGATAAGCATTTGAATTAGATTTTTAGATGATGCTTTAAAGTTTGAGAGATATTTTTAATAAATCTCATTGAAAGTTTTTATATTTTTGTGAAAAAAAATCATTTTGATTCATGTTTGCATGGAAATTTATTCAGAAACATTAAAAATGAGCTTCTAACAAATGGCAACATTGTCTATTATAGATGTGAAAATCTGAGTTTTTTAGAGATAAATAGCTTGTACTGAATGGAAAGGACTTTTGAATGATGCTACATCCTCTATGGAGAAACATGGCAATGCTGAATAGATTGTGGTCGTGCAAGTCGTGTTTTCTCTCACGTCTGTATTTGCTTTTAATCTCACTGCAGATGCCACAATCACTAACTTGTCCTTTTGGATATGTGTTTGTTGCAGGGTCCTCCGGGTCCACCAGGTCTGCAGGGTCCTGTTGGAGCCCCAGGGATAGCTGTGAGTAGCTCCTTCAGAGCCAACCCCAACCTTGCATAACTCAGCTGATCCTGACTTCTTTGAACTGTTTGCTTCTCACTCAGGAATATATTTCAAAACACCACTAACAGTTCTGTCCCTGCCCACTTACATACAGTTCTTTATTGTAAACAAGCCTGCCTGGGTGTTACTGAATGGCAGATTTACAGCAGGGCAATAATTTGACAAAATTATTAAAAAATTAAATCCTGTAAATAGTGAATGGGGGCCATCCTTTCAGTGAACTTGTTTGGTGGTGTGTTTGGCAGCTCAGTATAGATGCAGTTAAAAGAGTGTCTCTTTAAAATCCACTTGATACCACGTGAATTAATTCTTATTTTTATTCAAAAGGCTCTGAATTCTTTTACCCTTAGTATTGGTAGAACCCTGTGCTACTCATATTTACATAGGTATTCAACAGCTAGAATGTTTAGGCAGATTTGACAGAGAGGGGGAATTCAAGGAAAATTTCTGTGAGAAATGCAGCACTAATTGACCTATATTAAATCAGAGCACATGCTGGTATTCTGTTTGTGCAACAGATTTCATCCAGCCAAGATGATGAACATGCATTTGTAAAGACACTTGGTGTGATTCTGAGCCCTTTTGTAGCTGTTTCCCAGTCATTTCCATGGAGCTTTTCCTGTTCTTATCAGAGCTGTCATAGTTTTGTTCTTCATTGTTTCCCAACAGGGAGGTGATGGAGAGCCAGGCCCAAGAGGTCAGCAAGGGATGTTTGGGCAAAAAGGTGATGAAGGTCCTCGAGGCTTCCCTGGACCCCCAGGCCCGATTGGCTTACAGGTAAATTCCTTTATTATTTTACCTTATATCTGTAAAACAAGATGTAACAGGAAAAGCACAAGAGCACTGTTTTCTATCAGAAACTGAATGACTACTGTCTTCTATTAAATAAATGATACCATCAGTTAATTAGAACTGAAAGATCCCATATTGATGGGTTCATGCATAACAACAGATTTAATGCAGCAGGAATACATATATATGTGTATATATATATATATATATATATATATATCAGAGCATAAATTATCCAGACTCCCACCTGAACTCTGGATAATCCTGGCAGTGTATTTAAAATCACCCAGTGTTGCATTTCTGTGTGCATTTTTGGGGTTTTTTTTTCCCAAAATTTATTGTGTCACCTAGTTTAAGCATCTTAGGACTACCTATACACTTACTGTAATATGAGAAGCTCCCTTCCCTTTCTTTCCATTTTAATACAAATAGATCTTTTTCTTCTTGTTCCACCATCCTGCCCCCTCCCAAGTTCACAAGTTTGATGTGTAGATCTGATTTACATGGTTTCATATTGATTTATAACTAATCATTCCATGGACCCTACTTATAGTATTCTTCCTGTGTTTTTTAGGGTCTGCCTGGCCCACCAGGTGAAAAAGGTGAAAATGGAGATGTGGGTCCAATGGTAAGACTTCTTCCCTACTGGTCACTCTGAAGGACATAAATATTCTCCATATATTATTGTCTTTTCTGCATAGCTCACCATTTGATAAGATATTCCTGAATTTGGTGACCGAGTATGAAACATTTTGTGCAACATAAACTCTCTCTAGGATTTTCTTTGCTTTCCCACATCTATCCCATCATCACTAATATTGAGATTTATGTAGCATGTGAAAATACTGAAAAATAGATAGCAAAGCAGATGCTCTGTGTCCATTGACAATCATGTTCAGAAAAGAAGGAGGAAAAAGTAGATACCACTGCACCAGAGAGTCTGGAGCTGCCTTTCTGAAGTTCAGGCAGCTGTTATTAACACACAGCTTCAGGTATGCAGGCCAGTCGATGGTAAACACTGCTTGCCGCTGTTTACTTTCCCTGGGTGATGCATTTTCCAGCTGTTTCTCCTGCTGACAGAATGCCTTGTGGGCTGTTCCTGACTGCTAATGCAAGCTCTCTATACATTTGCCTCCAGCACCTTGTGCCAAGTCTGGATCTTCACTGGTGCCCATCTGTAGGCACCATGGTGCAGTTCTGCCCCAGGGCTGTCAGACACTTGAGCTGGTCCAGGTCTCTGTCAGTGGGATGGGCATGCAGGGAACCTGCAGGGAAAGAACCAATCCTCAGGGGTCCTAAGCATCAGGTCACGTCCAGCTCAGCTACTGTGTGGCACAGCCTGGGTCTCCTGTCACCTTTGAACTCATCCAGCAGGCAGCAATCTGGCCCTGCTGTTCCTGCTGCATGGTGAAGATTAAAAGCCCTCTACAGATTGAGTATATTATTTTTCATTGGTTAGAAATTCTTTCTGATTGTAACTATATTATATCTGTTCTATGATTCTGTCATATCACATTGTCTCTTTGATACAGGGTCCACCTGGCCCACCAGGTCCCAGAGGTCCCCAGGGTCCTAATGGAGCTGATGTAAGAATCAATCTATTTTTTGTCTTGCTAATTGAGTAACAAGCACCCTATTTTGGATAACAATATTTTGGATAACAAAAATCTTTTATCACTGTAGGGTCCTCAAGGTCCCCCAGGCTCAGTCGGCTCTGTTGGAGGTGTTGGTGAAAAGGTGAGTGTGCATGGAAACCCCCAAGGAAGAGAAAACATTGGAATAAGAATGCTACATGGCATTCATTCATTAAAACGCCTTTCATTGCTATTTTCAGTTCTCTATTCAGAAAATTTTCTGCCAAGATATGGAGTGAGTTTGTGTGGGATTGTTTACTTTCATATTTTACCCAAGGAACATGCCAGATTGTATCTTCCTTGTTCTTAAAGGAAAGATGAGGTGTACAGGAATATAAGGGCTTTTTTTTTAATGTGATTTATTTGAAGCAACAGAGTAAACTATTATATAGTGCTGAGCAAGCAAGAAGTTCAAAAGAGAGTCTTAAAATGCTTGTTTATGTTTATTTTATCAAGCTACATGACCTCAACCACATCACCTACATAAGCCTAAAAGCCTTTTGCTGTAACGCTACAGATTTAACATTAATTTTTTCCTGAACTTTGGAATGGGAAAGAAGATTCTAAGTGGAGCACAAAATGGAGGAAAGAAAATAGAAATATATTCCAGGCCAATATATAAATTGCTTATTGAGAAACTATGTAGATTGCTCTTGAGTATTTACTGATTTGTCACAGAGTATCACATGTGTTCAAAGACACACCGATCTCAGTGAACCCTAGAAAAGACATTTCTAGGAATGTCAGTATTGGTAGTTTTCCAGAAAGCTTTCCATATTTTTAATTTCTCAGAACATGAAGCAAGATTTCCCTTTTTCTAACTAAACCAGCCTTTTAAAAGAATCTTCAGGTGTTTCATGGTTTGTGGTTTTTTTTCCTACATGCCCATCAACCAAATCACTTACCAGTGCTCTGGGATGTGGCAAAGAGCATACCAGAATAATATAACATAACATTTGGTTTGCTGGAGAAATATCCTACTTTGTCTCCCTTACTGTCCTTTGAGACCAGAGGGTACTGAGCCCAAACAGATGTCATTGTGTCAGGCTGGCAGTGCTTCACTGCAGCGCTTCTTTCTCAGGATGTGGCTCTGAGCATCAGCTCACCTCTTGGGAGCAGCAGCATTCTGGTGTTTTCAATCCTTTCTCTCCAAAATTGCACAAGACACACAAAACACGATGCCCTCCTGCTTGACTGCATTATCAACAAGGATATTCCTTCTAATGTCCCAAGTTCATGACATTGTTCATCCAGTCTACTTTAAAAAATATCTTGGCCTCATGAAGGACTGCAGGATTTGTTTTTTTCTCTCTGGGAAGAGTACCAAAAATGTGACACAATCTAGGAGTTTAGAGAAATAAAAAGTTACTGGGAAAAGAGTCTGTATGTCAGTGGAATACAGAAAATAATGGGCATTGTGGGAAGAAAAAATTTTCCTGTGACTACTAATGAGAAAAATGTTAATTATGAGAACATCCAGGGTAGCACCCAATTTTATTCAGTGCTTTATAAAACCCCACCTTGTGTAATATTGTGGCACATTGAACTTGATAGGAATTTTTGCCATTGACTGAAAAGTCACCTCTTCAATTTTCAGCTTTTCATGATCAAGTTATATTCCAGCCATTTTCTAAACACACTGCCTTATATTGAACTCCCTCCTCTTTTGTTTCTCCCTGCAACTCATCTGCATGATTTAGAATCACTGTTTGTGATGATTAGGCCATGAAATTTAATTCAAGAACACGAAGTTCAGACTGTTTATCACTTGGTTGTCATTTTTTATTTCCTCCAGCTTATATCCCATATTCTCTGCATTCACAAAGAGAAGCTTCCAAGTGTATTTTAGAAGTTCATATAATTGTAATTACTTTCCTTCCTCCTCCTCCTCAAGTTTTAGTACATGCCAGGTTATTTTCTTTCTTAGGGTGTCTTCCTTCTTAATTTCAGTTCCATTTAATGAGATTTCAAGCTGAGATATCATCAATGGTTATTTTTTCAGGGGGAGTTGCTGCAATGGGAGGACAGGTCATGCTTTTGAACAAAACATGCATTTTTTCTTTTCCTTTTCTTCCCACACATTTTTCTCCCAATGTTTTTCTTATTATGTCAGCATGCTTTGGCCTCTGCACCCCTTTCAGGAAAGACACACGATACTACAGATAATTCAATACAGTGAGTAAAGAATGTGGAAAAACATTTTGGCATCATCCCTGTCACTGCTGAGGAGAGAAGTAGGTTTACTCACTTGCATATTTTAATGGTTTGACCAGGAGATATTTTTTCATTCATTTTAAGGGGGTTTCAAAGCCCCCTTATTTTCTGGCAGAGTCACACTTAGTTGTTTGTCACACTTTTTTTTGTCACACTTAGTGCCACACATTTTTAACTGGTTTGTTGTTTCCCCTGCTCTGCATACAAGGGTCTGAATGTTCAAAGGCATCAGTGCTGCAAATGCTCCTGTAGTCCTGCATTTATTATTGCCGAAACCCTCACAGAGGGCCTGGCAGTCTGACACTCAGCAGAACCATTTAAATCCAGCTGCCACACCAGGAACAGTCACTTTCTTCTGCTTTTAATTAAGAGAAATGGAAAACCAAAATGTACCTACACATACTTATCTCTAATTTGACATCAAAGGTCTAACATGCAGATATTCTAAACAGGCAGGAAGTTGCTCATGACTTCTCTAACCTGTGCCTTAGAATGCACATAAGAATTTACAACAGAGGGGAAACAGATCAAGTAATGTTAACCCCACACTTCCACAAAACCTAATGAAATAAATTTGCCTTTCTAATTTAGATTAATTTGTGATAATTGCACTGAGCACTGTGCTGTTCTTCTACCCCCTCTCCCTTCCACAGCAGTTATAAACCATCAGAGTTAGCAGTGCAAAGCCAGCATCTGCAGAACCTAAGCATTCGTTCTGTAGCCTCTCAGAGTTCAGACCTGGTTTACTGCATGAAAAAGTCTGATGTTAGAAAACCACGATACTCATCTGGGTTTAAATGTCTTCCTATTATATTGTTCTAAATAAACTTTCCAAAGTAGTACACTAATGAGGAATCCAACACAGTAAACAAGTGAGATCAATAGTTCTCATGCTTAATCATTAATTTATACTGCAGATGGAAGTGAGAGGACAGAATCAATGGAGTATCCTGCTCTAAGTTTAGGAACATGTTTGATAAGTGTTCACAGACAATTTTATGTGTATATATCTTTTTTCCACACATGTATGTGTGGACACTGCTAAGGTACCTAATCAAGGCGTGTCTGTGACAGTTTAGGCTACTTGCATATCCATCCTAACAAATTAATGACTTCACATGACCTCCTGACTGTAATTTTTTTCTCATCCTACTCCATCTCTCCAACACTGTAAACAAGAGCCCTCCATGAAAACACAGCCTTTAGAATTTCTCTCAATTAAATTGCATTCTCCACAGAGCCATTATATATAACACATATGCAGACCTCTGCAAAACGGATTCTCTTCTAGAGTTATAATTTCTTTTTTTTTTTTTGGTTTTTTTTTTTTTGGTTTTTTTTTTGTTTTGTTTTGTTTTGTGAGAATGGCAAAAAGGAGCAAAACTAACTTTTCAGAACCCAGTCAGTTGCAAAGTTGCCTCTCATTCTTACAAAATTAAAGACCATGTCCCAGAATTTAACCAAAAGGTGGCAGCCTTCTATCCACTATCTCTGTGCTTTGGATATCAGTTCTCTAGAACTGATCATGAGGAAAACAACATTTTTTAAACCTTTAAACTTTTTAGTAATTTTTTTTTTTATATTTTAACTTTTAAACTACTTTGCCTAGCTTGGTAGAAACCATTCTCCTTGCTTAATCCAAGGTTTTCAGAATTAAGCATGTCTGCAAAATGACATGACCCTTTGTAGTTTAAGATATCTGTCCTTCCTTTTTGAAATTCTGTCAGAGGAAGGCTTTGCCTAAGAAAGACCACAGTAACTTTTAAAAGATCTGAGCTGCTAAAAAGAGAGAGAAAAATCTCCAGAGATGAAATAAATATATTATTAGATCATAAAATCTGTTTCCCAACAGAACATGAAATATTTTCTATGGACAAGGTTCTGAATTAATGCCATTGTTACTAAAAATGAAAAGAAAGATGAGGGCCAACAATAGCTACAGATTACACAGGTTTTAGTAGCTATAAATATGTACTCTGTAAATATATATCAGCTACAATCTTCTCTATCAAAACACTGTTTAACTCCCTTAACAGCTATCTAAACCAAATGCAGCATTTCATAGTACCTAATACTTGGAATATGGAAATCACAGTCAGATAAAACAAGGACTGCATACAGGGAAGGGGCAGATCTTTCAGTAGAGCAATGATATAGAAATATTAATGTGAGATGAAACTTTAACTGGTCTCATCTTTCACAAATGCCCTTTAAGGGAACATTTTGACATTTTCTAGCCCTTCCAATTTCTCAGTTTTCCACACTGCTGCTTGCTGGGGAGCTGCAGTGCACAGAGCCAATGTCACCGTGTGTGCTGGAGCAGGCACCCCCAGTGCTCACCTACTGCTCCCAAGTGTAGGTCAGAGGGAGCCCAGTGTTGTGTGAGAGAATGAAGATGTGTTTGTCAAGAGGAAGGGTAAGAATTGTATTATCAATCAAATGCGGATCGTTGTAAATTACAGTATCATTAGGCAGAAAGGCAGAAGAAGAACTCTCTCTGAGAAGCTGCCAAGGGGATTACACTGCACAAGTGCTTGTCAGCAAGACTGGGCACAATCAGTGCTCTTATGTCACTGCTTCATTTTGTCCTGCCATGGGCTCACCTTTGGAAAGGCTCTATAGAGTGGACTCTGTGGATATAGTATGGCTACTGACGTGAAAAACACATTTTGCTAATTCCAGACTTCATTCTCTGTTGCTACAAAAATCTCATTTGATTGATAGTAGGCATGGACAAAATCCCAATGCTAATGATACTGCAGACTCAGTAAATGCTGTGCAGAGAATAAGGAAATAAAGATTATTAATTTTCCTAGAAAACATTCCTAACACTTATTGATCTGAAGCATCCACTATGGGGTTTTTTTTTGTTTTGTTTTAAAATGAATACAACATCACAGAAGTAAATTAATATTAAACACTAAAAGGGATCATTCATTTTTGAAGTTTCTACAAATTTTAGTATATCTAATAGAACATACCAGAGTTTCTAAAGGCACATTCACCCTTTAATAGTGCCCTTTGTAAAGGGCATTTTAATATTGCTCCTAAAATACTGGTTATCTGTTAATTATCCTAGTCTGGAATTCAGTTGAGAGGTGCTGAAATATTTTCCTTTTATGTAATGAAATATTTGTACTGGGCCAAATTCTGGTCCCAGTGAGGTTACCTTGGTGCTATGAGCTTCTCTGAAAAAAAAAAAAGGTTCAGTATCTACACCATAAGTTTTGTTTTTAAATTGTATTTTATGATTTATAGTTTTATGCTGACCATGTGGAAATGACATATATGAATTAAATGAACTGTCATAAAATGAAGAGTGGCGTGCAGGTCATGCAGGTTAGGAAGGATACAGAAATTTATTCCAATTCTGTGAATTCAGTAAATGATTGGGTAAAATGCATTTTCAGCACTGAACTACTCTTGCTCATAGACATAATTATTGGAAAAAGAATATATTTGTGGGAGAAAATTCCCCCCATTAGCAGTTGGATTCAAAAATCCTTTGGGATAAGAGTATGCATTTCTTATCCAAGCACTCCATAACAATCACAAAGCATATTCTCTTATACTTCCATGGTTTATGTTTCTGTGATGCTAATAACTAAATATTCTACTAACAGAAGAGTTTTCTATTAAAGTTTATTCATCAGACCACTGAGCTAGAAAATATTTGGTCATAACTAAACTTTAAAATGAATACTTGAAAAGACAGTCCTTGAGATAATACTGTGTACTGGCTCAGAAGGAGACTGAATTATCTTAAATGTTCACTTAATAGTGCACAATCTTTGATTTGCACAGATTTTCTTTTCATACAGTATCATCCTGAAAGCCATCTGCTTTACAAAATAAATTCCATCACTGGTAAATACATAGCACTCACCTCTGTAGCCTGTGGAGAAACTTTTTCTAACTGATGCTGTTATTTCATCCTTAGGTTTTTCTTTATATAGACTTTTTCTTCTTCCAACAGTAGCTATAGCAATAATCACAAGCAGGAAATTTGCAGTATATGGGATAATAAAGGGGAACGTCTTCCAAAGCCCAAAGGGAAGTTTAGTGTCCCTGGCTCAAGAAAATATTAGTTTGATGTATTATGTCTCAAATTTCAGACTCCAGTTCTGCAAAACCATATACATAACCCCTCTAGGCAGACCAAATAAAAAACCCTTCTTATAAGTTGTTTACATAAATAAGTATGGAAAGAATATGCAATTACAGAAGTAAATTCATCAAAATATTCTCCCTAATGACTGATAAATTTATTCTTATTCATCTATAGGGTGAGCCTGGAGAAGCTGGTAACCCTGGACCTCCTGGAGAATCTGGAACAGCTGTGAGTATTTTGTTGTTGTCTTATTATTAACATTTATTATGGTGAACTGTGGTATCTGGCAGGGCTTTGGTAAGCATTTCCTCAGATCACCTGAGCACTTGTGTATGTTTCCTTTGAATTTTCAGCAGAAAATTCATACCTTTAAAATGACATTTGTTTCCATATAATCATAGCCACATCTTGTACTAACAGAGGATGGAGACTTCCCAAAACAATACCCATTTTTCCTTCAATAAGATTTAACTTTGGCTTGCATGTTTTTCTTTCTGGAAACAGTTCACTGATACAATCTGGGTACAGAATTTGGCACTTGGCCTAAGAGATCCTAATTTCCCACTCACATGCCACTATTTATCAAGGAAATTGATAAATTTCCATTGTCTGATAATTCAGTTTGCCATTGTGATCTTTTTGGCCATTCCATTTCCAGATGTCATTTTTGTGTTCATGTGTTTCCACAGGGTCCAAAAGGTGAAAGGGGAGAAAAAGGTGAAGCTGGTCCACCTGGAGCAGCCGGACCACCAGGTGCTAAAGGACCTCCAGGTGATGATGGGCCTAAGGGTAACCCAGTAAGTGAGCTTCATAATTCTAACTCAAACCACTGTGAAGCATTGCTGAAGTTGTGTGAATACAGAACCATAGCATTTCCTACAAGTGCACTATGTTCATTATATGCTTCATAAAAGATTTCTGATGAGTGCTACCTGCTTGGCAACAGATGACACATTCCTTGCTTTTTTGCCTGATCTATCTAGGGCCCAGTTGGTTTTCCTGGAGATCCTGGTCCCCCTGGGGAACCTGGTCCAGCTGTAAGTATACCTTAAAAACAGTTTTAGGTCCTAGTCTTAGTTTGTACTTAATTCTAGTTGACCCTCTCTCTTTCCTGTCCGGGCATGAGCTCTTGCCTGTAAGATCCGTTGCTTTTGTGTTCACGCGTTTCTCAAGGCTTAAAAATATTAAGAAATCTTTTTAAAGTTTTGAAAAATAATGACCTTGGGAAAATGCTCTATAGAAAAATAGTGCTCTTATATTCATATATTAAATTTAGTGGCTTAAATTAGCTGAATTTTTAATTTTGTTTATTTTCCTTGAATTCTGTAGGGTCAGGATGGTGTTGGTGGAGAGAAGGGCGAAGATGGTGATCCTGGTCAACCTGTAAGATTTTTCTCTCATTTTATTTCACCTGCATGATCTCTCTGATGATAAGAAAGTACCTTTTGCCAAATCAGTGGCTTCTATGCAGTCACACTCTTAAAAAATATTTTCAGAGTGGATGCTTTTTCTATTATACTGAAAAATAACTATTTATTTCCTTGAAGAGATAGAACTGCCCATATTACTGTAACACAATTAAGCAAGAGCTCAATTTCTTTTAGAAGTAGTGATGTGTTAAAAGATTTCTGCTGGAGCTGCTGAGGAGCACTAAAAATAGAGCAGCTCTGAGCATAAGAAAAAAATGCTGCAGCCAAATAATCTTCAATAGCTGAACCAATGAAATTAAGCCAAGATCTTAAGCAGTACCTGAGCAATACCTATATTAAGCATCAAAGTTCTATTTCTGTAGATTCTCTCCATTGAAAGGGGCTAACACATGGCATATGTCCATGTTTAATAAAGATAGAACTTCATCCTTTATTACTGCTGTAATTTTAATTTTCTGTTGCAGGGTCCACCAGGTCCTTCAGGTGAAGCTGGCCCACCTGGTCCTCCTGGGAAAAGAGTAAGGAATATCTCGTCTTCTCTTGTACACTTCTCTTTCCGAGACACTGTGTCCTAGAGAATTTCAGCTACTTGTTTCATGCTGGGGCACTTTCATCTGATATTTGTAATTTCTTTTAAGTAATGTAATGAGAGAAATGAAAAAACAGAAACAGCAGAGAAAGCGCTTTAACATGGGTTATAAGAATATCAGAACAGAAAAATACATAAGGAAGAATGCACTGCTTACCCATAAAGTTGCTTTTTCCTTTCACTCAAGAATTCAGTGTCTACTAAATCAGTCTGCTAACAGGAATGAGTTGGTATGACAGTAATAGCAGACATCATCTCTAGGCACACCTCTCCTGCTATCAGGGAGCAGGTAGAATGTGTCTGTTTGGGTGTCTTTAGTCTTGGAAATAAAAGAACCTCAATGCAACTACTGTGCAAAACTGTATCATCCTCTCTGCATACAGAATTAACAGGCAGACATTTCTGTAACTTATGAAGCTATCCCATTATTTCTAAAGCATTTTAAGATTCACAAATAGGCTTTACAAATATACCTAATCAAACCCAGTAAATAATGTTGCAGTCACAGAACTGTAGTAGATGCATCAGCCCTTAGGTCTGCTTCAGAGAGCAATTAGATGCAGTTTTCAGACTTGAAAAACAGAAGAAGTGGCATTATTAAATGTAAACTGAGAATTATTTAACAAAATATGTTAAATTACTTGGTTTAGTGGGCTGGAGTGGAATGACATGCCTAATTAATTTTATTTATTTTACACAGTAATATATTTGCTCCACCAACATGCAAAATATTTATTATATTCTAAATTATTATGGTCACATTAGCAACCTTATTCTAGAGCTGAAATATGGCTCAACTGAATATTAACAATTAGTATATTTGCTTGACATCAAATTAAAACTTCCTGCTTTATTATACAGAAAGGCAATAGCTCACTCCTCATAGATGGGCTGTATTCTATCTGATTGTACCTAGACAAAAAAAACCCCAACAATTTCAAAGCACAAATTCCATGTTACCTGTGGTTTGACATATTTCCAATTTAGGGAAAATGCATTGCTAAATATTGCAATGTAGGCCCTTTCTGAATTTTGAAGAAAACATTTTTAGGATCAGATTCTACATTACTTGAGCACCAGAATATTTTGAACTTGTAGGGAATCTGTATTATATTGATGTTATACTAGAAAGTAACAGTGAAAGACTGAAAGGTTCATACTCACCTGGAAAAACTGCTTATCATTAGTTTCCATCACTTGTATTGTAGAATCAATTTCAAGAAAAAGCCCTAACAAGAGTCTTTTAATTTGGATTGAGAAAGACACACAGTTTCACTAGTAATATTGCTGTCTGCGAGGTGCAGCTCTGGCTATACTACTAGAAAGCAAAATTCCACCCCATTTTTTGGTTTTTGGTCTCCAAAATAATGAGCTGGCAGAGCTCAGAATTCATACTTTTGATTAAAGGCTCTGGAAATCCTCAACAGTAAGCTCCTTATTTATTTTGTTATACATTTTCATTCCCCTCTTCCATTCCCTTTTGTAACTGAGCTGACCTGTTTTACTGTCCACTCTTGTAAAATCATCTTTATTACCAGCTACCAGAGTTTTGAGCAATTTCTGTCTAGTTACAGAGTTACAAAGTTTCCCCAGCTCTCCCTGGGAATCAAATTCTAGTGAAAGACATGGACATGAATCGTTTTTCCATTGTATCTAAGAAATTTATAAGCTAAAAGCATAATCTACAAAGGGTGACTTTTGTGACATGGTAATAGACAAAGTCTTTAAAGTGATTTTTTTTAAAGTTTCATTAAATAGTAATTATTATTTTACATATTTTGACTTCTTAAATGAAGATGCACCACATCAGAAAAATACATGCTCAGAAGGCTTTATACATCAACGTAATTTAGCTGCAAGTAATAGCAGTAATTGTGGCTGCTTATCTAGAACTAGAGATACAGACTGAACCTCTCTACAGTTATGTTGTTATTATTATTTTTCTGAAACTTAATCCCTTGCTCTTACTTCTGGGACTTCTTTTTGGTTTGCCATACAGTACTGGGTAACACTTTTATTTTGAATTCACTGATTTCAATCTGAAATATGTTAAAAGTAGCATGAGGAAAAGACACCGTCAGAGAGTGTTTGTCCTTCAGATCAATATGCAGTCAGTACAGATCAGCACAGACAGTGCTCCTTGCCTGTGCTCCTCCCAGCCCTTCAGTGTGCCAGGCACTTGGGCTTTGGGATCTGCTGCTGGGCTGCTTTCCTGGACAGTGACAATCCAATGTCCACATCATATACACATAAACCTCCATATACCAACCAAGTATTACAATTTAAAGCTCAAGACTGGAGGCCATGCCATCTTTTTCCATTAAAAGAAGAGATGTCAATACTGCAGCAAAGCCAGCAATTTTGCAAAGCAGAAGTTTATTTGGTTTGTTGCCTTTAAATGCAATGCTGAATAACTTAGGAAAAAAGAAAGTGTTTCTATGAAGGAGATTTTTTTTTTTTTTCCATTTTGGCTACAGCATGATGCTGCCTCAGCAGGGTGTACTCACCACTTAAAAATTAATTTCTCTCTTGATTTCAAATGGACAGAATACCTAACAATATGCTAGGTTCCCATCACAACAGGCTAATGAAATGTGGTAATGGTTTTTCTGTGTTGGAAATCATGTTCTAAGCCAGATGACAGCTATAAACAACAATTGAAATTATTTTAATGAAATATGGAAGAATAGAGAAAAATATTCAATAGGTTCACATAGCAAAAATTGAGAATGAGTTTGTTTCTGCATGATTTCTTTTGTCTTCTTGGTTCATAAAATGTATCAGGCAGTATGTCCAAAATCACAGTTCATAAAAATCTCTCATGGTAGAGAATTGCAAAGAGCTCTCTGTGTCTGCAGCAGCCCGGTGAGCCAGGCCAGCCATGCAGGAGCAGCTCCTGCAGCAGCTCCCTGCCTGGGGCAGCCGTGGCACTGCTGCTAACGCCAGGCATTGTACTTGTATTTTAGCCATCACAGTGGGCTTAGCCCTGCTAATTAATTCATGCTGCAGCTTCATTTCTAGATTATGCAGAGACCATGTTTTTCAAGTACAAACTGCCACATTCAACGCTTTTCTTAGATAGGGTGGCATAATCCATATGGGAACTTCAGGCAAGTAAAGAAAATGGGCATGTAAATTAATTCATGTAATAAAAAAAAGTCACGTTTCTAAAATGCTTCTGAATTTATTTATGCACCTGTTGATCTTTCTTATTATCACTGCAAACTGTGATCCACCCAACAAATTACAACCTACACAAAGGGTTACGTACCTCAGACATTATTAATTATTATTGAAACAGCAGGGATTTAAAATATTCTTCCTGTTGTAAAGAGTTAACATTTAGCACAGAGCATTTAAGCTTCTCTGTATTTTGAAGAAATAAAACTTAAGTCCTTTATCCCTTACAGCTCTTAAAAATACCAAAGAAAAAAGCTGTTGATACCCACATCAAATGGCCGAAGTCCTCTTGTGGTTAATTCAGTTCCTTTGACATTACCTTTGATGTAAAGTCTGAACTATCTCTGCTGGCCAAAAGGTTCATGCAGTGCTGCAGATGTTCATTGTCACCCTGGAGAAAGATTAATTTCAGAAGCAAATTAATGATCTTCATATACTTCTATGTAAATAGCTATAAAATTAATAAAATTTCCAGGAATTAAAACCAGTGGAGTTGCTCAAGGTATGTGCCAAGGTAGCCGTGGATAGTGAAATATATCAGGCAATAAAAAGTTTGGGCTAAATTCAGCTCTAGTATAAAAAATGGCTTTAGGTCAAACACTGACCTCACAAAGCAAACAGGCAGATGCTTAACTGGAAGTACAGTTCTTATCTGTAAAATTAAATTTGTGTTCTGGTGCTTTACCACTAAGCAGCCTGAATTGTTTTTCTGTATGTTGTTAAGAAATAAAAAGCAGTAAATAAATGGAAGTGATTGAATTTTTCTAGTTGCTAATCTTCAGAACTTTTTTTTTACATAAAAATCTGCTTTTTGCATTAATAAACAGATGAGTCTTATATAGATTCACAAAATCACAGCATTTGAGCATAGTCACGTTTCTTTCATGTTCCTTTGAGCTGCTCATTGGTTGGCAAGAAATAGCTATTTGTAATAAAGACATTTCCCAGGCTAAAAATTAACCTTGTAGGAGAACAGTTGGTCCATAATCTTGAGTGCATCTTTTCTAAACTAAGCATATAACAGAACCATTTTCAGAAGAGTGCATTAAATTCTAGACACTGCTCCTGTTCATAACTGAAGCTATGAATATTAATTACCTGACCTAAAAATCAGCCCTTCATTTTTTGGAGGAGAAAAATGTCGTTTTATTTTTCACTTTCATATTTAGTGGATAATATGTCAATTTTTGTCTGTCCAAATGTAATCAGAACCCCTGACTGAGCCCATCCCTGACTTAGAGATTAAAGAAGTATTTGCCATGCTGTGTACTGTAGAAAGAGAGGCCTTTTTGGAATCAGTGGATAAACTACAGTGAATAGAAGTCAATGTAAAGCAAGTTTAAAATTAATTGTTATTGTACATATAAATTAGTTTTGCCTTTTTTTCTTTGATATACTGTTTTGTTATTTTGGATTTTATTTTTTTTTATTTTGTTTTGATTTTGTTTTGTTGTTTTTGTTTTCCCAAACAAATTGAACCTCATAATCTTTTAGATATTCTAAAAAACCAGAAAATTTTATAGGAGAATAAGAGCTTTTTGGTATTTTTTAGCCTGTGAATAAAATGTCAAAAAAATAAATTTAATGTCATTTTGTAATCAATTGCTACTTATTAATATGGTGGGAATTGCACTTTCAGAATTTTTTTCACTGGTTATATTTGAAAAAAACTTGAGTGTTCATATTTTACAGGGACCTCCTGGAGCAACAGGTGCTGAAGGCAGACAAGGCGAAAAAGGTGCAAAGGTAATACACTGAAGTTTTTTTTTGAAGCATAGAATGTAAACTATTTATAAATTAAAAATCAATTGCTTATGATGCACTGAGCATGGAACTTTTCAAAGCAATAACAGGCAATCTGCAAAATCCAAATTCAGACCCAGAATTAGTAGCAATATGTAATGGAGTGGACCCAGCAGTGCAGGCCCAACACAGCTCAGCTGTAACAGGCAAGGGGAGCCTGCTCTGCTGGCACCACAGCTCTCTGTGAAACCAGAGACACTTCACTCAGGAAATCGTCCTGTGCAGAACTCTGGCTTTTAAAAGCACTTTGCCTCTTGTACATCCCTCCAGTGCCAAACTCAGCCCCCCTCTCTGACCTGGTCTGTTCTTTCCAGGGTGAACCTGGTGCAGAAGGGGCTCCTGGAAAAACAGGGCCAGTTGGGCCACAGGGACCTGCAGGGAAACCTGGCCCAGAGGGTCTCCGGGGCATTCCTGGCCCTGTGGTAAGTCATGGAGCACATCATATCTTAAATGTTGCATTTCCTGTGTATACTCTCGTAAAGCCAGCTTTCTGGTTTTTTCTAGGGAGAACAAGGTCTGCCTGGAGCACCAGGTCAGGATGGCCCTCCTGGACCTCTGGTGAGCATCCTTTTCCCACATGTCACTCACAGAAGCCTCCAAAAATATCACTGAAAAATCTCTCTTCTAAGATTTGAGAGCTTAAATATTCTGTTGAAATCTGGAGCTGAGTATATTAAATAAACTATATGCTTTCAAATGCACAGACTTCCTGTCAGCTCAACAGGAACTTTCCAATGCATTGCTGCAGCTTAATTTTGGATTTTAGAAAGTAAAGTTGATATGTAAAAGTTTCTGAGGTTAGGTTTCCCTCCTTCCCCTCCCATCCGCCACAGAAGATTGCCATCAGGAGAGTATGAAGCCTGATTTGCAGTAGAGCACAACACACTGCAGGTGAAAAGTCTGACTCCACATTCCAAAAGCTTAAAAATTTCACATTTCATTCATGAATTATGTATTTGCCTAGGCTTTTGCATCTAGTGATATCCTGAAGTGGAGATGGAAAGCATAAGCACTGAATAATATTTTGTACATGAAATGTTATGGCATTTTTGAATATGTGCCAGGTGGAAAAGGTCTCTTATCACTCCTATCCATAGCAGAAGTTGTCCACTGCTACCAGGAGAGCAGTGGTGAGGAGACACAGACTTAATGTAGCAGCTCTACACCTCATGGACACATATGCAGTGTGAGATTAACAGCCTCTGAAAAATTCATGTCTTTTGCACAGGCACTGCATGGCCTGCATTTTTTACCTCATTATGTACAAATTACACAATACCAGCATTACCAGTCTTATAAAATCTAAAGATTTCTCAAATCAAGAATTTAGTTGGCCCTCTGCTCCACAGATTTCTATTCATACAACCTTTTATAGATTTCTAATTATAAAGTAATTTAAATACCATTGTAGCATCATTATGATTTTTTAAGCATACGTTTCATCTTGGGCTCTAAATCATGTCATCAATCACAACCATCAACTACTGAATGTGTACTTTGATTTGAACTGCCTTCAATAACATTTCAAGAAAACATGATTTGAGCAGGATGTTAAAACTTACTTTAACATGACTTCCCTTGATTTATAAAGGGCCCACCTGGCTTGCCTGGACTGAAAGGAGACCCAGGTTCCAAAGGAGAGAAGGTATGCTTTGCTAACTGTTGTGTCTCTGTAACTTCAGCCCAGTCTAAAACCTGTATAAAATTAGGAGAGAGAAGCAGTGGGGTTTGTATCAGCAAGGCATTGTACCATCCCTTTCAAACAGCTTCCCACAGCCCCAACAGTCATTGTGAAGTTTTAAGCCATATCCGATATCCTGGAAACACCTAGAAAGAAAAAGATTACTGCCTGTGTGGTAATCTATTGACCATGTGGTGCCTGCAAGGAAAATTCCAAAGATACTGATGCAAAGAGAACTGTCAGATTTACAAGAACAAAAAAAGTAGAAATTATGAGTATTGACAATTTTTATTTTAAAATACAAATATTTAACAGCTATAATACTTTCTTTTGAAATAATGGATTGAGACATCTAGGATAGCATTTTCCCATGGAGTCCCAACAATACATTGATTGCTTGTGTAGCAGAGAAAAAACCTGTAGAGAAAGAGGCATGAACATGACTGTGCGTTGTGAACTGCAGGTTTTGTTTATCTCCTTGGATCACCTGTTTATGTAACCATATCACATGTGAACTCTGTGAAATGCTGACAGCAGCTACATGTGAAAACTGGCATGAAATCTGTACCCAGGGTACTATGATTTCTGTGCTGGTTTCAGTAAGGTAACCTTGAACTTACCTCTTTCACTGAACAAGCAGTCACAGCTTGCAAATAATCTGAAAGCTTGAAAGAGCATCTAACAACACTAAATACGCTTTTAGAATAATTTGTGTTCAGGTTGACTGCAACAGTAGTAACATGTGAAAAGTCTAATTTATGTGTTTGCAAAGCACATTTACTTTAATGTATGTTAACTATATTTTCTTAAATCTTGTTTAGGGACATCCTGGTTTGATTGGCCTGATTGGGCCTCCAGGAGAACAGGGTGAAAAGGGTGATCGGGGTCTTCCTGGCCCACAGGGATCTCCTGGAGCCAAGGGTGATGCAGTGAGTACAACATATCTGTATGCCATCCAAGTTCCATGCAAGCAAGGAGTGTATATTCCAGGCTTCCTTCTGAAAGACTTAAAGTTGTTATAAACGTTTAACACCCGGAGTCTCCTGCAAGAGGTTAAAACTTTCTTAGGCATTGTACAAACACAGCAATATTAAATATCTTAAAATGAGGTTATAGAGTGGTTTTGGAAAATGAAGGAAACACATACACCCCAACATGCACACAGAACAAGTTAGCAACAAGATAAAAGTAGCAGCAGCAATCTCATCATATTTTCTGATTGCACTACCCAAAGCAGCTCACTCTCTTCTAGTTACTACGCCATGTTTTTAGGGCACTATGTAAAATGTGAGGTTTCCAAGCCAATCTGAAGAGAAACACAGCTCTGACAGTCCACTGCAGTCAGTAAGAACAACTACAAGCAACTCACATTGTCATATCTAGTATTTTAAACTTGCCAACTATTTTGGCCTCTAGCAAATGGCCTAACTCAAAACTCACCACAGCTGGACACTTAATGGGACTACCTTTTTTATAGATATTTTTTTAACACAGTCCAATATGTAGAATACTTTAGTTCTGTGCTTATTCTCTTATTCCTTTTTAGGGAATTTCTGGTCCTGCTGGTCCCCTTGGACCCCCTGGTCCTCCTGGATTACCTGTAAGTAATTTCATCCAGCCCTCCCATTCTACCCACCCTCAAGCTGTGTGCAGTACACTCTAACCAGAGTTCTGTGTTCTTGCCCACAGGGTCCCCAGGGTCCCAAAGGTTCCAAAGGATCCAGTGTGAGTAACTCTCCTCTACACTTTCTCCTCTGTCCTTAGCTTTTGTGTGTGTTATTTTTAAACCTTGTGTAGCATGGTCAACACTGCACTTCTTTCATTGCTCTGTAGGGTCCTGCTGGTCAGAAGGGTGACAGTGGCTTACCTGGTCCACCTGGTCCTCCAGTAAGTAAGAATTCTTATCTTGCATTACCCTGACATGATGCTCCTGTTTTGACAAGGGTACAAAACAACATTTGGGAACTAAAATATGAATGATAGTTTGAAAATTCATTTTTCAGGAAACACAGATCCAACAGGCACAGAAATACGTATCTGCACTGAAAGACTCAGAAGAAAACAAATAAATAAAATAAAGAACACAAATTAAAACAAATAAATAAAATAAAGAACACCCAAAAAAAACCCCTAAAAACCTCCCCCCCAAAAAAAAAGAAGCCCCTCATGCAATAATTACTTAATGTGTTATACTGAAGCACAGAGAACAAAATTCTACTGGCTTCCCCTGCTGATACTCTTTTGTTTCCATATTTTTTTTATATCATAACAAACTAAAATGAAGAGTCCAAACCTGAGTGAAATGCTTCAATTTCTTGAAATTAAGTATTGTTTCCTAGACCCCAAGTGGAATTTTAAACTTTTATCATAGGAAACATACAGAGTTTTCAATTTTCATAGAATATGTCTGTGCTTGAGGGAATTAACAGGGATACAGAGACGTGAGTCAGTTCTGTGTGTCACTTGTGTGAGGGCAGCAAACTCATCCCCAAAAAGCAATGTAGCAAGAAGAGTTTAGAGCGCAACAATGGTTTGGCCTTTTACAATCTTTTTTTTTTTTTTTTCAGTAAGTCAAAGCACATAGGTATGAATCTAAAAGAAAAAAAGGTGAAATAAAGAAATAAATACCTTGAAGAAAGCTTATTCAAAGCATCTCCAAGCCACATTCTGTGGTCCTTCTCTGCTGAAAAATGAACAGAAGTATAATTAGATATGTTGTTTTCCACTTAGGGCCCTCCAGGTGAGGTAATCCAGCCACTGCCAATTCAGTCACCCAAGAAGACAAGAAGATCTCCTGACTATATGTTATCTGATGCTGGTGATAATATTCTGGATTATTCCGATGGCATGGAGGAGATCTTTGGCTCCCTGAATTCCCTGAAGCAAGACATTGAGCACATGAAGTTTCCCATGGGCACTCAGAATAACCCAGCCCGGACCTGCAAAGATCTGCAGCTCTGCCACCCCGACTTCCCAGACGGTGAGCTCACACTGCACAGCACGGGCACACAGGGCTGAGCCTGGCTCTGCCAGGCCACTTTGGACCATTAGTCCATTATTGGTACATGGCTCATACAGCTGCTCAACAAATACAGTCTCATTGAATCCATTTTTACAGGCATAAAAGTTTAAAAGTGAGTACACATGTTCTCTTGGTAAGAGTCAAATCTCTTCAAATACATAACCTGATCTGGGTTAAAACCTGTTAAAATGATGAATAAAAAGCAGTTGTTGTTTTGAAAGGTGTGCCTTGCATTTCCAGGACAATCAAAACAGGAGTGTGATGAAAGAGTGTAGTATAACAATATGAAACAGCATTGGTATTAGATGAGATTTATGTTCAATAATGATTCTCAAAAACTTTACTAGTGTTTTAGCCCTGGAAGCAATAATTTTCTCTACTGCATCGGCACTGTTTTTTCTAGATCAGCCAGCAAAGAGACATGGAAGTTTCTTTGATACTGTTTAATGCTATCACGTAGTAGTGTAATAAAATGCATAGTAATATGAAGACACCCAGTGTTCCTAAGAACTATCTTGATTTTATTATTCTTTGTTGTTTTCTTTTTTTTCTTCTAAATAATTTTACCCCTCTGAAAATGTTTAAATGAAAGCCAGCCTTCACTAAATTTTCCTCCTTTCATAATTTTTTCAATTGCAATGCATATTTTTCCCAGTTCAAAGTAATATTTTTCTGCTTTTAAATGGGAGGAAAAATAGATTTTGACAGTTTAATAATATTTTATTGCTTTCACTCTAGATAGATAAGAACAGATGGTTGCCTTGAGGAGTAGTTAAGCAGTGTAAGTGCGATATGAAAAGTACATATTTTACAATTCAGTACCTTCCATAATAAGGAATAGTTTTTACAGAACACATTCACCTTCTGCATTTACCAGTATTTGCTTCTTCTTTAGAGCTGTCTTCATATAAAAGTAATCTTATTTTGGTTAAAACAAAAGCAAATGTGTTCATTAAAATTCAAAATTCTTCAAGGATAAGACTTACAGAAAGGAAAGACTGTTTTCAATATACAGCCTAAATCAACAGAATTGTTAAACCCCAAAAATACTTTGTCTATGCCCTATATTCAGAAGTCAGAACTGGTGAAAGGATTTGTCATTTCTCTTTGAAACCTCCACTATTTGTTTGAAACTGGATTAGAACTGTAGTTGTCACACCATCACTTGCTGCCCTGTTTGTGAAACACCTGAAGATAAGAATCCTCATCACAGAAACCACCATTCCAATTAGAATAGCAGATTTTAAAAAGCACTGACTTTGAATGGGCCTTGGATGGGCTGCAGCTCTTTTCATGCCCAGCCTTCACTGGTGTTGCAGCTTCGTAAGGCAGGAGGAAAAGGTCTTGGTTTGGGGTGGATCCCTCTCTGTGGGAGGGACCTTTAGGTGCTTGTGCCAGCTACAACCCCAGCAAGCCCCATGCAGACACCTCTGCATGCAGATAAGGATGCAAATCGCTCCAGATTTTGCTCCCTGACCTAAACCATTCAGATAAAATAAATTTCCTACAAACTTCGGAGGACCATTAGGTAGCAGTAAAGCCTGGTTCTTCTGAATACCATTTCTATTGTATAAGGTAAATATTTTCTCATTTGTCTTAGGGGAATATTGGATTGATCCTAACCAGGGCTGTTCTGGAGACTCCTTCAAAGTATACTGCAATTTCACAGCAGGTGGGGAAACTTGCATCTACCCAGATAAGAAATCTGAAGGAGTAAGTACCAATCTGTGTTTTCAGTTGGCTGTTGACAGTTACTATTATGCTGTTACAATGTTGAACTCAACAGGATAATTACATTGGCACATTTTCATGTATCTGTCTTTCTAATTACATTTACATATATCTGAATGGAGCAGTAAAATGGTACACAGAGTTAACAAATACCATTTTCAACTTTAGACAGGGAATCTGTGCACCTGCTTGCTAATATTTCAGTACATTTCAGAATGCAACACAGCTGAGCAGCCACTTACAGCACATGATCTAGTATTTGTCACCTAAAAGCTAAATCTTCCTGTGTTTCTCTTGTGGGTTCATTTATATCTATTTGCTTATTCCTATGGAAAGTAGATGTAAAAGACTGTATTAACAGTGTCCTTGCTCACTGTTATAGATTACATCTGCTGAGGCATATGGTATAGAGGAAGGCTTTCTGAAATCTTGCCTAATGACAGGGATCTATTAGCATCCACACTGGTGAAAACTCATTTAGATACTTCACAGCAACAATTTATACCAGCAGCTTACCTGGCTCTTAACAGATTACAACCATCTCCCTCAAACAGAGCTAATGCTCTCTTGGATGCCATTTGAAGTCACTAATTTGAAGGCATTCTCTACAAGAAAAACATTCTATTTCAGACCTTTAAAGTGGCTGAGATTTCAGGAAGAACCATTTTGTATTATCTGGTGTGGTATTTGTCCAAGTAATGTAAAACCTTCATATCTGTCAGCATATGTTTCTAAAACTTCTGTCTCTGCTGTTTGACCACACAGGTTAGAATCTCATCGTGGCCAAAGGAGAACCCAGGATCTTGGTTTAGTGAATTTAAGCGAGGCAAACTTGTAAGTTGTCACTGCAATGTAACTGTAGTCACAAATCAGGTCCATGTTTCCAGCAATCAGCAGATCACAGGGAATTGTATAAGTACTTACATAATGAAAAGACCCCTTTTGCCTTAAATATCACAGCAGCTATGTGGTCTCTTGGCCCTGGACAGCAGAAGCTGGTCTGTACTGTCCCACAGTGATCCCAATGGTCACCTGCACAGCTGGCGCTGAGGATCTGGCCCCTGTCAGACACACCTCACCACCAAACCTTAGGAAAGCAGCTGGAGCACAGATCCCCCACCCCAGTCTAGGTTACTGGAAATATACTGGGTATGCAGAGGCGAGGCTGCAGGCTGACTAACTTTATAATTAACTAAAAACAGATTACCAAACAGACTCTGCTGCTTTACACTATAAGGTAGGAGTAATTCTCTCTTTCTCAGTAGAACAAAGCTGAGAAATGTAATTCTTCATCCTAAATACACTGCTACATCATGAAAATCTATTTACTGAGTCATAGCTGTATTGACCTTTAAAACTTCATAACATGTTATGTGTTGGTTGATATTTTTATTAAGGGCAGTTATATGATTGTCTTTTGTCAATAGTAATTTTGGTTTGCATTGTACCAAAGAAAACAGATAAATATTCATCTAACTTTTTATATTTTCCAGCTTTCCTATTTGGATGTTGAAGGCAATTCCATTAATATGGTCCAAATGACATTCCTTAAACTACTGAGTGCCTCTGCCAGACAAAATTTCACTTACAACTGTCACCAGTCTGTAGCCTGGCACGATGCACCCTCTGACAGCTATGACAAAGCACTAAGGTTCTTAGGATCCAATGATGAAGAAATGTCTTATGACAACAATCCTTACATCAAAGCTCTCCACGATGGCTGTGCAGTAAGTAGAGCTTCAAAGAGTCTTTACAAAACCAACCTGTCATTTAAAGTAGAAATCAAACAAATTTATTTTTTCACAGCTTTCTTCTGAGATAAGCTTTGTAAACACTTCACTTGTCATATACTGATTTTTTTGTAGATTTTTAACCACATTACACTAGTGCCATATTCAATTTTCACCTATGTACCAAAAAAGATATAACCACAAGCCAAGCAGCAGAAATTGAACAAACTTGGAATGGATGCAGGCTGTCAGCACCACTATGCTGAAAGCAGACTATCTGCTACTGTGTATGAGCACAGTATCAGGAAAGAGCAGAAGCAAAAAAAGATGAGAGGAGGCAGCCTATAAGCAGAATATATTGATACTAAAAATCAAAGTATACACAAATAGAATAATTATTGAATACAGCAAAAACATGTATCACATAAGTCCTATGTACCCACACATAGTGAATTAATTTAATAGTTTGATATGTGACTTTGTATTTCCTTTTCTTGTTTTGTGTATTCAAAGCCAGGTGAAGCTTGTGGATTTTACTTTTCAGAAACCTCCTTTAGCTAAAAATCCCCAGAGCTGTCCAAGCATACATCAGGTCTCTGAGTACTCCTCTCTCAGGGTCTCTGTGGGCATAGGAACTGATACCACTTCTCAGAAATAGAACAGTATCTATTGAACGCTTTGAAACAAAGACACCAAAAGAACAAGTGACAGTTGAACCCTTATTAATTATTTTAGGGGTTGATATAGGAGCATTCTGAATGCAGTTTCTGAGCAGTCAAGAGATACAAAATTAGAGACCTAAAAGTGCCAGGATATACACCTGAGGCAGAGATGCAACTCAGGAGGTGCAAAGCACCTCTCCTCAGCAGTGTGACTCTAATACACAGCTGCTTCATGTCAGCCTTCCTGTGTGCCATTTCACTTCTGTTATCCACAGAGTGTAAATGTAGAGCTCCAGAGAGAGCTGAAACTTGCAACTGTCACTAAATTGAGAATGCTCAGGTCTGTTAGCTTGGATGCTCATCTGAACTCCAAGACCCTGGTACAGCCAAAAGGGGTCTCAGCAGATTAAGAGAGCATCAAAAGGAAGTGCAGTGCTGATAAGTGATGAGATGACAGAGCTGAGTGATACACAGAGGAGCTAGAGAGCCTTCGTCAGGCAGCAAGGGTGTGCCTTCAAAGCTGGCTTCTAAGTGCAGTAGTTGGCAGTCCTGTCAGAATACTACTTTCTTCACAGCTGCTCTGATAGTTTGTGAGCCAGTTCCAGTATTTCTTCTTAGAAGTGGATCGTCTCTGTTTCAGACCTAATTGGTGATTTTTTTCCCGCAGGAAATAAGTGTACATCTGTGACAATATTATTGTTCATTAAAGAGTATAGACATGAACTACAGAATTATCTTAAAAGCAAGGACTATCTTAGATTATTTTTCTTTTGTAGGCCTATTTTAGAAAGTAAAAAAACCTATGGTCCATCCTCCAACTAAAATCAGAGCATTCCATGTCACATTTTTAGAATTAAATAATAAGAAAATATAAGATTTAGGATTTGCAATATCTGGTGCATGACAGGACAATAATTTCAAAATTCTATGTTTCAGATACAAAATATGAAATCTACAGCATGTTAAATGCTGAGAGGTATAACAGTTTGGGTTTTCTTCTTCTCTTTTTTAACAGTCAAGAAAGGGCTATGCAAAGACGGTGCTGGAAATCAACACGCCCAAAATAGACCAAGTGCCCATAGTTGATGTGATGATCAATGACTTTGGTGATCAGAACCAGAAGTTTGGATTTGAGGTTGGTCCTGTCTGCTTCCTTGGTTAAGCTTAAGACAAAATCAGATCAACACAAATGTTGCACTTTGGTGCTACCAACCCACTTCATGCCACATGCAAGTTTTGAATAAGGATGGCATAGAAAATGTCTTGCTGTGTATGTATGTCTTATCTAGAAAGTAATCATTGCCCTTGTAGGGCCAGAATCACATGACTTAAACTTATTTTGCAAAGTTGCTGTGGCACAGACAGACAACATAGGGCTCACTTCAGGAACACCCCCTTTGGATTCCTCTGGTGCTGTAAAAAAAACAACGACAATGGTGCTCCTTCCATTACAACAAAGAGGTGTTTAGAAAGTGTTTAATATAAACTGTAATTATTCTATGTACAGTACTATACTGTGATTTCTCTGTCCACTTCCGAAACTTGCATGTGTCTCTGAATTGCATCTGGCTCTTATTTTACAATTACAAACTACATTGTCAATGCTGTGTATGTATTCTGAAAAAAATAAAACTGTAATTGCCAGTGAAGCCAATTCCATTTCTGATTAATAATAAAATCCCTTTGTATATATTGTTGTTGAAGAGCTTTGTTATTTGAAGTCGCCAGTAAAATTAAGGTGGCAAAACTGGAAGAGCTTGAGCAGCACACTCAAACAACTCCATTCTGCTGATATAACTGTGTGGCAATGAATTTAGATGATGAAATAAAAGCACTTTCAAAGGTGCTGTGTTCCATGGTGCTATACCTCAGACTTTTTATTTTCTATTCTAATTCCATAATTTCATAAGATAACTGTATATACCTAAAATAAACAAGTTTATATTTTTGGGTGGGGAAAACATGTAAGAAAAAAAACAAACTTCTGTGTTAGAGAACTGTTTAAAATCTGTGAAATAAATTAGTCATATAGCTTTCCTTTTTTATTTTTTAATCTCATCTGGATTTGTTTCCATTGTACTTAGTTGAGCTACATAATATAAAAACTGGATTTGAAACAGTTATTTATGGATTTTTGCAGTGTTTACCTAGATGTTTATGTAAGCAATGATGGATGTTTGCTTCCTGAACTGGATACTAAAGATTTCACACAATAGTCTATACAATATTTGCCCGTCCCATTAATATGAATTATTTTTCTTCCTGTTACTCCACCTGAAGGCCAGAGATGCAATATGTCTAGGTCATGTGATTCTACACAGTTGCTAAGCAACACAAGAGGGACTGCTTCCTAAAGAGCTGTCTTTGACCCAAACTCTTACAATTCACTGTTCAAAGCTCACCAAAAAAATGTGATGGTTTGGCCTTCCCTCTGAACATTTTATTCAGGTAGTTGGAAGTAGAAATTACATTTTAGCTTTACAACACAAATCCTTTTGTAATTATTTTTCATAATATATGTAAGACTTGAAAAGAAATGTTTGTTTCTATTTCTTATAAATTGTTAAATTAAATAGTACTAGTTTCTGCTGGCTCGTTTCCAACTGGTATTTTCTTATGCACGTTTATACATGTAAAAGTGAGATTCCAAAAGTCAACTTCTTGCTGTTCATATTTCCTTTTATTTTTGAACCAAAGTTTGTAACTGTCACCTCAAAGAGGGAAATACAAATTTTATTAATAAAATCAAGTCTTGTTTATCTGGATTGGTCATTCTCTTGTTTCAATGTCCAGAATGCACCCACTGTCATTACTGTAACTTTATTCTGCTTCCAGACCATCCAGGCTTGAAAAAAAGGAATGTTACTACATGTCCTGGCAAGCACTGGGCAACAGCACTGGGAAAAGAAGTGTTAACAGAGGAGGTGCTGATCTGGCCATTGGCAGTAGGCAGCAGGGATAAGTTCACATGTGGTTGGTATGGATTTATAGCTCCAGCAGTCCAGATAACACCATCAAACACAGGACAGGAGCCTGATACTCCTTCCCCAGCCACTCACAACCTATAGTGACTGTCCATTCCTCAGTCTTGTGCTTATACTTGTAGGACTCCATTGGGTAGGCAAATGACCCTATTTATTAACAGGAAATGGAAGGCAAGAATGAGACCAAGACTTGGAAAGTAGGGGAACACAAAATGTCCAACACCTTGTTTTAGGCTGTGGAACCAGAACCAGCGATGGGTCCAATGACCTGACACATGCCCCCTTCTCCAAAGAACCTTCTCTCTTTTTAATCTGCTACTTGTTCTTCATGAACTCTGGCAATGTCTAAGATGTGAGAGCAGCTGCAATAAGTTTGGCAGAGAAGCAGCCACTTTTTCCTGCTTGGTGGGGCTGGGCTAAGGTAGGAGCTGACCTGTTAAAGCCTATCTAAAAGAAACCTCCTTGTTGAGTGCTTTAGAGTAAAAAATAAAGATGGTTGTGGTTTGGCAGAGTCAGGATTAGTCTGCAGCAGATTGTTGTTTCTAAGAATGTAATGATGTATTTAAGCAGCCAAATGAAACCAGATCTTCTCCAGAATTAGTCCAAGCATCTTGCCAAGATTTGTGTCAGCAACATCACAAAGGAGGAAATGAACTTGAGTCTTCTACTCTTTTCAGCAAGGGCCCATCTTGTTTATTCTTTAACATTTCTTTAGGCCTTAACCACTTACCTTACTATTTATCGTTGTCATGAAAGCATCTCACCATTGCTTGTTATCTAACTTCTCTTTGTCCATTCTCTTTTTCAATCTGCTGTTCTTGTTCTCTCCAAGTTTCAGATTAAAGGAGAGATAATGCCATTATATATACTTGCCTTCAAGCAAAATTATGCTCTTATTTTTCCCTTGAAAGAAGTCTCCTATTAGCAGTGCTTAAAACCCAAACAAACAAGCAAAAAGGGCACTTCAGAACAGAAAGAAGTTTCACATCAAAACTCACATATTGGTCTTCCTATGAAAAAAGCTTCACATTCTATAGTCAAATTCTAATAGCCATAAAAACACAAAACCTCCGATTCATAATACAGTATTATAAAATACACAGAAACAAACCAAACCTCCAAAACTATGCAAGCCAAATTCCTCTCTCAACCAAACCCAAAATAAAACAATGATCTTATTTTTCAAACCCTAAATTAAAGACCTGTGCAATCACAAAAATACGTAAATTGTTATAGGACACCTGGATTTTACATCTAGAAACAGAACTTGGATGTTCTGTGATCTTAAGGGTTCACCCTACCTAAAGCAGACTGGGCAATTTGTTTTGAAAGTTTGCTTCAAGATGCTCTAAACAGAAAGCCATCCTGGAGATGGTTTCTTCACTGCAAAGACAGATTGTGGTTGTATTGCATGGAAATGGAGTAACTCAGCACATGGCAAACCAAAAAATACTCCAGACCGAGGCACTGTCCTGCCCAGTATTACACAGACATACCAGAGAGATTTAAATGACAAGCTATGGTTAGAGTGGCAGAAACTGTTCCGTGTGCATGAGTGGAGTTTCTTTGCCCCCCTCTCTCTCTCTCTCACCCTGGATAGGGCAGTATCAACTCACCATGTCTGGCACATCTCTTGGAAAGCTTCATAAAATGCAGTGAAGATATTTTTTTCCAGTCCAAGTGAGAGCCATTATGACTAACATCAACAGTCAACTTGTGACACAAAAAGCTACAAAGCTTCCAAAAATGAGGACCGTGAGCTCTTTAAAATTCTTCCCCTTGGGAACAGCTTTGCTAATTTTAAAATTCATCTTCACATGCTAATGGCTGCAAGGAAAAGCCTTAATAGCCACTGGTTTTCTATTGCAAACACACTCATTTTTCTGTGAAAGAACATCTTCTATTGTAGATGCACCAAAAGAAGAAAATTACAAAGACAGGATATTAAATGTCATGTCTATTATATTTACCTGGAAACGTGTCTTATTTGTGTTCCTTTTGAAAGCACATAAATTATCAGAGGCTCATTGTTAGTTCAGTGAAAAGCAATGCCAAGATTATTGCCAAGGAATAGATTGCTCTAAAGCTATTTATACATTTTGTTTTCAATAAAAACATGAAAGATTAATACAGTGAGGAAGGCTGCAAGCTTACAGATATTCCAATGCTCTGCTCTAGCCAAAATCGGCCTTGTTTCTTTCTCAGCTCTGTGAATGAAGGCTCTGTTCTAATGAGAGAGGATGCAGCCAAAGCCCACAATGGACACATTTTGTCTAGGTTGTCCAGGGAGCTTTGGCAGACCTTGACTTTGTTTCCAATATCTCAAGGGGGGAAGAAGTGATCTCCATCAAAGCACACCTAATTTCACTAAGACAAGAATTGTTAAAAACTCAGCAGTGGGACTGGGATCTAAGTGCCTCCTCTGCCCCCTATTATAATCTAAGAAATTGGGTTTTTTAACATCAAAAAGGCAACGTAGCTAAATCTTGCTGAAGCGTGAAAGAACTCCAGCTTGCAATGTGATTAAAATGTGGATGAAAATTAAAAATTCAGTCCATGCAATAAGATGCTGGACAGAAACCAAATTAATTCTTTTCTAGCCCCAGAAGTTCTCTAAACTGGATCTTCTGTTGTGTTTTCAATGGTTAATTAAAAGAACCTTTCTGAGTTCACAGGACTGGGACAAGGCTGCCCAGAGCCCAAAAGTCATCTTAATTGGCAGGAATGAACACAGCAGCCTCACACTCAGCTCCCCTCTCACCTGAAATATTTCACAACCAGAGATCTTGCATATGGCCTTAGCCCCTGTGGGCTGCAGCAGTGCAAGGGCAGTGAGTCGTGGTCTCAGAGTCCCAGCCTGAAAGCTCTGAAGTTCCCCAGCACAAGTAAAAAGTAAACATAGCTATAGCAGAGCCATAAAGCTGAGTTGTTAAATTAAAAATATTAACTAAATGAGGAGACTCAGGATGTGACTAACAAAATAAAAACATTACACTGTAATTGTTGTTTCTGAAATGGAGATACTGATTTCCTCTTTGGTAGTTTACTCAGAATGTTACTCAGAAAGCCCTACAAGTCAGCCAGGGTATATCACGGAGCTGCTGCTTGACTTCTAGAGCAGATCCTCCTCATTACAGCAGGAAAGTATATTAAGCGCAATGAGAGGTGGAAAGATTTA